TGCCTGCACCAGAACAATGGTGCACACTCACAACAGCCGAGATGTCCGCCTGTGACCAAGTGTGGGGAGCGGTGGCGCGGCGATTAGCGCAACTGCGCTACGCACCCAGCGACCCGAGTTAGATTGCAATGACAGTGACGATTATCTGAACCGGTTATGCCCCTCCTCACACACTGACACACTCTCACTCACACACTCACACACACTCACTCACACACACACACTCCCCTGGTTTACTCGGCCTTGAATGAAGAAGCCGGTGAGTTGTGTAATCAGCATCGGCACTGGGGAAACAAAGGCGGCCGGGCGTAGTGCTGGCCACGCCCTCGTCTGCCGTGTCGACCTTCATAGGTGCTACTCGCTGACAGCACTTGCGCCAGCAGTCTGTTGACGCTACATGGGGGACCTTTACCTTTGTGCCGTGGAAAGGCACCCGGGCACGATGGCGGTAGACTGGGTAGGTGAGTGAGTGTATGGGTGAGCGGTAGACTGGGTAGGTGAGTGGGTGTGTGGGTGGGTGGTAGACTGGGTAGGTGAGTGGGTGTGTGGGTGAGTGGTAAACTGGGTAGGTGAGTGGGTGTATGGGTGAGCGGTAGACTGGGTAGGTGAGTGGGTGTGTGGGTGGGTGGTAGACTGGGTAGGTGAGTGGGTGTGTGTGTGAGTGGTAGACTGGGTAGGTGAGGGGTGTGTGGGTGAGCGGCAGACTGGGTAGGTGTGTGGGTGTGTGGGTGAGTGGTAGACTGGGTAGGTGAGTGGGTGTGTGGGTGAGCGGCAGACTTGATAGGTTAGTGGGTGTGTGGGTGATTGGTAGACTGGGTAGGTGAGTGGGTGTGTGGGTGAGTGGTAGACTGGGTAGGTGAGTGGGTGTGTGGGTGAGTGGTAAACTGGGTAGGTGAGTGGGTGTGTGGGTGAGTGGTAGACTGGGTAGGTGAGAGGTGTGTGGGTGAGTGGTAGACTGGGTAGGTGAGTGGGTGTGTGGATGAGTGGTAAACTGGGTAGGTGAGTGGGTGTGTGGGTGAGTGGTAAACTGGGTAGGTGAGTGGGTGTGTGGGTGAGTGGTAGACTGGGTAGGTGAGTGGGTGTGTGGGTGAGTGGTAGACTGGGTAGGTGAGTGGGTGTGTGGGTGAGTGGTAGACTGGGTAGGTGAGTGGGTGTGTGGGTGAGTGGTAGACTGGGTAGGTGAGTGGGTGTGTGGGTGAGTGGTAGACTGGGTAGGAGAGTGGGTGTGTGGGTGTGTGGGTGACTGTGCAGTATAACGGAGTTTGCAGGGCAGAAAGTGTGCACTAGGAAGCGGTGTGCGATAGAACAGGGTACTTGTTAGAACCGGAAGTTCAGCTTCACTGATGTGTCCTTGAAATGGCGTGCGTTAGTATGAGATGTGCGTTAGAACAAGATGTGTGTGTACTGGTTTGTGGTTAACGCGGTGAGCGTTAGAAATCGGGGTGCGCGTTAGAACTCGGGGTGGTGGGCGTGCTGCCAAGGGGCGAGTCTGCAGACCTCACCGGGCTCCCCACTCGCTCCACACGTCCCCTCGTCCTCGGGACTCCGAATGAGCCCCGCTACGAACCCCCACGACTCACACGAAGGGGGTTGCATCGGAGTGCGTGGGTGGGTGGGGGGGGGCTCTCTCCGTCCCCCAACGCCCCCCCCCCCCTCTTCGATGCAAAATTCTGCAGTCTTGGCTGCACCCCACGTCTCCTCCCGGCAATACACGATCGGAGGGGACGGGACGGCGGAGGGATGATGATGATTCTAATTATAATGATTCTAATTATAATGATGATGATGGTTCTAATTATAATGATGATGATGATGGTTCTAATTGCTCCTGTGTCTGTGCTGCGGTTACACGTTCGGTCCAATTCGCTGGCTCCACGGGTTGATAGCCGGCGGCGGTCAAGGATAGTGGAAGAGCGCGAGGCGAGGAGTGGAACTCGTCCGTGAAGACGTCACCGGCGAGAGAGACGGAGCGATGGGGCAGTCGTCTCGCGTCCAACGTTCCGGGTGGACCCCCTACGTCGCAGACACGCGGGCGATGTCGGCGGGCTTGCGGGGGGAGGTCTTCGTCCAGCAGTGGATCGCCCATGGCTGATGGCGGCGATGATGATGATGATGAATTAGCGCTCATTCACGTGCAAGTGCTTTATTTTGCGTGGTTGGAGGCTTGGGGCCGAAACGTCGATTCCTTTGTGTGCTTCATTGAGTGATGTTGTACTTCGTAGGGAGGAGGCGAGAGAGGGAAATTAAATCCATCGCCTTTGTTGGGGCGAGACGCAGGGAGCAGCTGAGTCAGCAGAGTGCGATGATGATTGCCCGGTGTGAGCGTGCGTCAGTCGGGGTGTCGGGAGCGGTGGTGCAGCGGTCAGTGCGCTGCGCTACGAACACGAGTTCGATTCCCGCTCACGGCCAACACCAAGTGACGATTTTCTGAACCGGTCCTGGGGCTCCCCTAGGTCTACTCGGGCTCAAATGACTAACTGGTGCGATGCGTACATGTCGCCACGAAGGGAGACAAAGGCGGCCGGGCGTGGTGCTGGCCACCCACCCCCTCGTGTGCCTGCCGGCCTTCACGGGTGCTGCTCGCTAGCAGCGCTTGCCCTCGACAGCCTGTTAGAGGCTACCCGGGGGACCTTTGTCTCCGTGTGACCTTGCTTTGATTTCTGGCCATGAACAATGTCAGTGGGAAGTGCGATCTGTGGCGCTGCCCTGGGCCGCACGCGGGTGCACACAGAGCAGCAGTCGCGCCTCCAAGTGTGCACGCCAACAAACCTCAACACATTCGCCAATGCCACTGTGTGGTCTTAAAAATATGACAGGCGACGTTTCGGGCAATGGCCCTGCTTCTAGGGTCGCGCTCATTGCACACAAAGTGCTTTCCGCATATGAACCCACAAACGCCTTGTTGATCTCGTCAAGAGGCACGCGAACTGACTGCGGTCATCCTCGCAGCAGTAGCTGCTGCTGCCGCTGCTGCTGCCGCTGCTGCTGCCGCTGCCGCTGCACTTTCACATCTCAAAAGAACTTGTTTTTGTACAAAGACAAGGATCCCTTGGGACAAGTGCTGTTCGCGAGCAGCACCTGTGAAGGCCGGCACGGCACACGAGGGGGTGGGTGGCCAGCACCACGCCCGGCCGCCTTTATCTCCCTAGTGGCGATGTTTACACACCGCGCCAGATGCTCATTTGAAGCCGAATCGACCTAGGGGAGGCCCGCGGCCGGTTCAAATAATCGTCACCGGTCTTGGCCGTGAGCCAGAATCGAACTCGGTTCGCCGGGTTCGTAGCGCAGCGCGCTCACCTCTCACCTCTACTCTACCGCTCCCCACACACAAACACACAACAACAACCGCCATTCGCCACGAAGTGGCGATTACGTCACCACGACGCTGGTGCCAGGCTAGGTGCACGTTGAGGCCACGTGAAGTGTCGAACGCCCGCTGGCAGGAGGTCACAGAATGGACCCAGGTGCCATGGGTTGACTGCTTGAGATGACTGGTCGATGCACCACCTGTGCCCCCTACCATGCCAACTCGCTGTGTTATGCGCCCGGCGCTCCGCTCGTTGTTATGAGCGTCGCTCTTCTGCCCTCCGCTGTTGCTGGAGGGCGACTGCCTCCAACTGCCCAGTAGCAGCAGCAGCAGCAGCGTCCTTCACGAGTCTCCTCCACAGAGGCCGATCTCGACGCACGCTGGTACTACACACACACAGCGCGGCGTACCCAGAGCAAACTGACGCACACGAGCGGGATAACGGGGAGAGCTCCACGCGGTTGTTTGGCATCCAAAACCTGCCTCGCTGCCATCTCTCTCCTGCCGTTGGTTGGGTTTGGCCGTGCGGCCAACACTGCGGATCCTGCTGCTGCTGCTGTTGTTGTTGATTCTGGCGGCACGAGCCATCGCGGTGGTTGGCTGGCGCCTGGCCCGGAGTGAATGAGTTGCATTGTCGCTGCTGCTGCTCGCGCGGGTTTAATGTCGCTCGTCAACTCGCTCGTCTCCGAGTGACATTTGCCGGCGTCTGCTGCCGCCGCTGCTGCTGCTGCCGCTGCTGCAACGCCGAGCGAGCGCGCGCTTGGGTCTCAACCTTACAGGAGGCGCCATGAAGCAGCAGCCACAAATCCACTCGGGCTGCTGGATCATGGACCGTGCCAGCAGCGGTGCCTCGTGAAGAGCACAGCCTGCCGGCTGCTACTTTCTCCCTGCTCCTGCTGCCCAGCTACGAGCAGACCTACCTCAACCCCAACCCCTGCCAATACCAAAACCCCACTCTTTATTTCAACCACGATCATCGTATGTACAAATGTAATATCGTTGTGAAAGCGCCTTGGAGTAAGGCGCTGTATGAATCGACGTGAGATCAGATCCAGGAGAATGCTGCAGCAGCAGCAGTGAGATGGTTCAGGAGCTCAATGCCACTGTCGAGGCTGTTGTAGCTGCTGCTGCTGCTGCTGCAGCTGCTGCTGCTGCCACTACGAGAGGGCTTCAGCAGACAGAGAGAGTCCGTGTCGTGTCGCTCTTCCTCAACCTTCTCCGTTGTTGAAGGATCGCAGCCCGCAGTGGGTTCGCTGTGTGGCCCATAGCTTGGGCAGCATGGCCAGTCGCACTGCTGTGGCCTGTCTTTAATCTACCTCGAAATGTCTCTCTATGTATGTGTCTCTATGTATGTCTATGTACCTCTATATTTGTATGTGTCTCTATGTGCCCCCTATGAGTCTCCATGTATCTATGTGTGTCTCTATGGGTTGCTGTGGCCTGTATCTTTAATTGATCGTCTACGCATTGCACTGCGCCACAAACCCGGCGACTCCGGTTCGATTCCCTCTTACGAGCAACAGCATCGCTGGGCACCTGTCGCGGTGCGCGGTGGGCATGACACATCAGCGACGGCGTTGATGGCCGCCCGCAGCCCCCCTCGTGCTCCGCGCCGGCCTTCGTAGGCGCTCGCAGCACTCGTCCCAACGGTCTCTGGAGGCTACACGGGGGACCTTTGTCTCTGTCTTTGCAGGCGTGCGTGGCTGGGAGGTGAACGGCCGGTCGCGCTCGCTGGACCAGCAGCTCAAGATGTTCGTGTCGCGACACTCGGCGCGATTCTCAGCCGAGATCCAAGGTCCGAGACAAACCCCGGCTCGCACGAGGGCGAGCACTGGAGACGCCATCGTCGTCATCTTCATGAGCACCATCGTCGTCATCATCAGCATCAGCACCACCGTCATCATCATCAGCACCACCGTCATCATAATCATCAGCATCGTCATCAACATCGCCATCATCAGCATCATCATCAGCATCATCAGCATCACCGTCATCATCATCAGCGTCGTCATCAACACCACCGTCATCATAATCATCAGCAGCATTGTCATCAGCATCACCATCATCAGCATCATCAGCATCATCATCAGTAGCATCAGCACCACCGTCATCATCATCAGCATCATCGTCAGCATCGTCATCATCAGCAGCAGTAGGCTCACCATGACGAGGATCATCACCACTTCCACCGTTATCTTTACATCGCGAACATCACCATTAATCACCATCATAACCACCTTCATTCTGTCATCACAACCACCCCGATTACGATCTAACATGATCTGCAGCAGCATTCTCATCAGCATCATCATCCTCATGGTCCCTTCTGCCTAGTGACGCAGCCGTCACGGTGTGCAGGCGGTGCAACTGCGCCAGGGCCCACGCTGCCCGGGGCCGGTGGCGGTGGGGGGGGGATTGGAGAGAGGCGTTGCACTAAGGGGCCCTGCCACTCACGCTGCCCCCCCACTGTGTGTGCTGGTGTCTGTGGGAGTCTTCGCTGGCTGTGTGTCTCCAAGTGAGCCCGTGGGTCTCTCTGTGTACGAGGACGGCTCTCGATGCACGGAGCGGCGCTCTTCGTTGCGAGGCCCCGTGGGCCCCTGACGGCCCCTGGCGGCCTTTAGTGCGGCCCCTGATGTGCGGCCCCCCACAATACACAACACGTAACGACCCCCCCCCCCCCATTCATCAACATGCTGTCAAATCCCCAATGGTTGTAATAGCGTGTGGTGGCCGTGACACCGATGATGTCTCGTCGGGCGGGATGGCTGTGCCGGCGTGGTGCGGTCGGCGTGGTGCGGCCGGCGTGGTGCGGCTGGCATGGTGCGGCCGGCGTGGTGCGGCCGGAGTGGTGCGGCTGCCCGGCGCGCCAATTCCGAGCTCGCTCGCCGCGCCTCATCGGCGATTCATGGCGCGAGGTCAACTCCCTCCGGATTCCTGGGGAGGGAGGAAGGAGAGGAAAAACAACACGCCACAAATCTCAGCGGCGGCGGCGGCGGCGGAGGCGTCCGCCGCCGGGCTTAACCCTCGCGCTGCCGGATCTCCAGCACCGGGGAGACAAAGGCGGCCGGGCGTGCTGTGTTGCCCGCCCCCCTCCACTCAGTCGCGTGCCGCGCCGGCCTTTGTTGACGATCGCTTAAAGGCGCCTTCCCCCACCTTTTGGGGGGGGGGGGGTCTCTGTCTGCTCGTCTCCTTGTGGGGGGTGACGCCCCAGGCCACGCGGGGTCTTCCCGTTCTTGTCCCGAGTCCTATTCGCCTCATTGCTCCAGCATGGCTGTGTCTGCTTCGTCTTTGTGGTCTTGGGTGACCCCAGGGTCTTCTCTTGTGCGTGAGAGAATTTCTCCTGGTCTCCTCTTGAGCTCTCACCTAGTCGCACAAAGACAACTTAGAACTTGAGCTCGCTCACTCACTCGCTCACCTACCCACTCAATCATTCACCCACTCGCTCACTCACTCACCCTCTCAATCATTCACCATTTACTCATTCATCTACCTACTCAATCACTCGACTGGGTGAGCGAGTAAGTGAATGAGTGGGCGAATGAGTGGGTGGGTGGGTGAGGGAGTGGGTGAATGATTGAGCGAGTGAGTGAATGAGTGAGTGAATGAGTGAGTTCATCGAGTTCCCTGTTATTTGGCTTAACCCGGCTGGGAACTCAAGAGACCACAACGCAGTCTCATTTGCACGAGTGGCATGGATCATCGAAATGGCAAAGGCAAATAAAAGAAAGTTACAGCGACCAAGGGAATAGACACATCATGGCCGAGACGGCCGCGTTACCGAAGAAATCGATAATACCGCACGGACATCCGGTCGATATTGAAGAAAATGCATTTCCTGTGATGAAAGTTGGCACGGGCAAATTACGTTTGAAGGTGGACGGGAAGGCAGAGAGGTCCTCAATCCAGCAGTGGATTGACCAATGGGGAGTATGCACGTGCGCAGGTGCCTGTCGAGTAATGATTTGATGAACTGCGAGGTACGAGTCTGATCTCTGCTCGTCAACATGAATGTCGGTGGTCGTGTTCCCCATTACCCCCCCCCTCCCGCCCCCTCTGCTGGCTGCTCCGCCCGCTCCTCTTCTCCTTCTTGAAGGACAAAAAGTGTTGCACCACGAGAGCGACGACCTGCAGAGCGTGGTGCTGATCAACCCCGCCGAGGAGACGGTGTTCACAGAGGTGCGGCCCCCTCCCATACCCCCCCCCCTCTACCCTCCCCTCCATACCCCTGCATCACTCGCTCCCCTCCACCCCTACCCCCCTCCACCCTCGACCCCCTCTCCATCCCCCTGCATCACTCCCTCCCCTACACCCCTACCCCCCCTCCATCCGAGACCCCCCCCTCCATCCCCCTGCATCACTCCCTACTCTTAGTGTGCGTGAGCGTCTCAGCATCTCGGGGTGAGTATGTGTTGGTGTGTGTGACGGGATGCGTGCAGTGGAAAGAACCCTGCAGACACCAGTTCGATTCATACACTTAGGTTTTTTCGGTAAAGTCACGTAGGTTAAAAAAAATAAATTAAATAATAATAAATGAAAAAATTACTAATTTAAATCACGAAGTTTCGGAGGCAACACAAGTCTCCGCCTTCAGGTGGGACCGTCACAACTAAATTTACTGTGAGTAAATGTATTTTTACCTACGTGACTTTACCGAAAAACCCTAAGAGTATGAATCCTTGCAGTCACGAAAGCTTCAAATCTATAACCTGTTCGATTCCCGCTCACGGCCAATATCCAAACCGATCAATGGACCTCCCCTAGGTCCACTCAGCCTTCAACTGAGTACCTGGTGCAGTGTGTAAACCCCATCAGCATTCGGGGGTGGGGGGAGACAAAGGCGGCCGGGCAGGCGTGCTGGCACCGACCGCCATTCACCTTCGTGAGCCGAGTCGGCCTCACCATCGGCGCTCGCTAACGGGGTCACAGCACTTGCCCCACGGGCCGGGTGAGGCTATACGGGGAGGCGGGATCCTTCTCCCTTGGCTTTGCGTGGCGGCTTCTTCTGCTTCTGTTGCCTTTGAGTTTCGATTCGTGTCCTCCTGTGCCCCCCCAGGTGTTAAGGATGAAGAGGTTGGGTTAGTGGTATCATTCACGAGGGGTGAGGTTAGGGATTGATTTGGAGGTCGGGGCAGTGGGAGTGGTGATCACGAAGCCACTGTAGCAATGCACTCCTAAATACAAATTGGAAACTCATTTCTTTAGAGCTGCTTTAGGGTTTAGTTTGTTGCCCCCCTCACCTCCGATTAGTGTGGTTGGCTACGTACGATACTAAAGAAGTTCAACATACATACTTACATAGAGGTAGGGATAGCCTCAGGAGTGATGCCAGGACTATAATTTGGGGTATTTGTAGTGGCAGGGTAACATCGTGTTCGTGGTAGTATCGGGGGTGGTGTTGGGGTAGATGTTGGGATTGTGTTAGGGGTCGTGTTTAGCTGTAGGGGTACCGTTAGGATCGTGGCATGCGTCACGCGCGTCTGCATTATGTGACCCCCCCTCCCCCCACCACTCTTCACGCTCACACGCGTGCCCCCCCCCCCCCGCGTGTGCCCCCCCCCCCCGTGCCCCCCACTTAGGTCCGAGCCCTGGTCGCGGGCGCGTGCCGCCACAAGCTGCTCGTCCTGGCCGGCTGCTGCTACGAGGACTCGGGGGACCTGTGCCTCCGCGACGGCTTCTTCACCCCCGACTCGCTCGCCGACATCATCTTCTCCGAGCCCGAGGTCCCCCCCCCGACCCCCCCCCCCCCCACACGATCACGATCCCAACCCCAACTCTATCCGTGACCCTGCACAGTGGAGTAAAACGAAACTCGCTTTTATTTCAGCAGGGAAGGCCCCGCTGAGCTCTGTAGCTCTTTTTTGGAAGCGCGCTGGCCACAAATGACGAAGTGGCTTATCACGTGGACATTTATAGCAGACAAATACTCTGAACGCACGCCGATTTGAAATGTGGAGAGAAAATCTGGAGCACCTGGAGAAAAATCCACGCGACTACGGGGAGGGAGAGACACGCAACCTCCAAATATACAGCAGCAGCAGGCGTCAGGGTCGGGATTGAACCCACGACCCCCTGTATACCAGGCGAGGTAGTCAACATCTCCTAGTCACCGTGGCGCCCCAAGTACAATCCTAACCCCAACTCTGTCCCTAATCCCTACCCCTGGGCCCCCACAAGCGTATCCATTAACCCAAACCCCGAGCAAGTGCAGTGTCCACCCCAGTGCAGTGTCCACCCCGGTGCAGTGTCCACCCCGGTGCAGTGTCCACCCCGGTGCAGTATTCCACCCCGGTGCAGTGTCCACCCCGTGCAGTGTCAACGCGAGCGCTACCACAGCCCTAACCCTGGCACACTCCCGACCCGTGGTCTTGCCCCCCCCTCCCTGCCCCCCCCCCAGGTGACTGAGCCCCCGAGCTCCCCCGAGCTCCCCCCTGACCGCCCCCGCCTCACCCTGCACTGTCCGCGTCGTGGGGGGTGGCACGCGCTCTCCTCGCCGGCACTCGAGCACCTGCAGCAGGTGAGCGAGCGAGTGTACAGGTGTGTGTACAGGTGTGTAGTGGTGAGTGTAGTGGTGTGTGTAGTGGTGTGTAGAGGTGTGTGCAGGTGTGTAGTGGTGTGTGTAGTGGTGTGTAGTGGTGTGTAGTGGTGTGTAGTGTTGTGTGCGTGTGTGTACAAGTGTGTACAGGTGTGTGTAGTGGTGTGTGTAGGCGTGTGCAGGTGTGTACAGGTGTGTAGCGGTGTGTAGAGGTGTGTAGTGGTGTGTGTAGTGGTGTGTACAAGTGTGTAGTGGTGTGTGCAGATGTGTAGTGGTGTGTACAGGTGTGTGTAGGAGTGTGTAGGTGTGTAGGTGTGTAATGGTGTGTAGAGGTGTGTAGTGGTGTGTACAGGTGTGTAGTGGTGTGCAGGTGTGTGTAGTGGTGTGTGCAGGTGTGTGCAGGTGTGTACGGGGAGCGGCGGTGCAGTGGTTAGCTACAAAGCCGGCGACCCGAGTTCGATTCCCGCTCACGGCCAACACCATGGACGATTCTCTGAAACGGTCCTGGGCCTCCTCCCCTAGGTCGACTCAGCCTCAAATGAGTACCTGATGTGGTGTGTAAACATCGCTTCTGGGGAGACAAAGGCGTTCAGGTGTGGTTCTGGCTACGCACTCCCTCGTGTGCTGTGTCAGCCTTCACAGGTGCTCGCTAACAGCACTTGCCCCAACAGTCTGTTAAGGCTGTAAGGGGGATAATTTGTCTTGTACAGGTTTGTCTAGGTGAGTGAGTGTGTGTACTGATGATTGAGAATGTGTACACGTGAGTGTGTACACGTGAGTGTGTGTACACGTGAGTGAGAGTGTGTACACGTGAGTGTGTGTATAGGTGAGTGTGTGTGTAGGTGAGTGAGTGTACAGGTGAGTGAGTGTACAGGTGAGTGTACAGGTGAGTGAGTGTACAGGTGAGTGAATGTACAGGTGAGTGAGTGTACAGGTGTCCCCTATGATACCCCATGTTCTCCGTGATGACCCTGAATCTCCTGTGACCCCCCCGTGACCCCCCTGATCCCCCGTGCCCCCCCCCCCCGTGTGTGCTGCAGGAGCTGCTGGAGGTTTGTGTGAACCCCGAGCCGCTGCTGCCCCCCACCGAGGGGCTGCTCGAGTTCACCGAGTACCTCTCCGAGTCCCTGGAGGTGCAGGGCCCCTTTGACCTCCTGGAGCCCCCCACGTCCGGGGGATTCCTCAAGGTGCAGCGGAGAGCCTCGGGGGGGGGTGCGGGGGGGGGGGGTCGCCGCCTTGCCCACAGTCGGCCCAGGTCAGGGGTCGGCAACCGGCGGCTCCGGAGCCGCGTGCGGTGGCTCTTGAAGTGACCGCTTCATGGCACTACTTATTATTGAGGTTTATTTATTTCACTAAATTCGACAAAAATGCGTCCTTGTTATTTTCGTTGCCGACCCGTGGCCTAGGCCTTCTCTCAGCCCATCATACCTCCTCGGGTCGATAAATTGTTCTGTCATCACCACCGAGTTCAACACGGCAACAGTTTCCTGCTGCCACCCGAATACACGCGCCGATGCCAAGTTGTAAATTGACCAGGGCGGCCACTGGATTGGAACCTTCTGCGACAGGCGGCCAACGCGCTACGGCGGCGCCCGCATCACCATCTTGAATCCACTGCTGGATGAGGGCCTCCCCCCAACGCTGACGTTGCAGTGGTAGGGGGTATTTGACCATACTTCACCACACCGGTCAGGGGTGCGGGTCGGGTTGGCAAAGGACATAGACCCGGGTGCATAGAAGTACAGCACAACAATGTGAGTTGTGGGTGGTGGGGGTTGGGGTGGGGGTGTTTGTTAATTGACCACGCATCCACCAAACATCTCGTCTCGAATAGCGAAGGTGAACGTGTATGTCCACCCCCCCCTCCCCCCGCATGGTGGACCAGCTGACTCGCCCCTGCTGCTACATCTTCCCCGGGGGAAGAGGCGACTCGGCGCTCTTTGCTGTCAACGGCTTCAACATCCTCCTGGACGGGGGCTCCCACCCCAGCTCGGGACTCTGGAAGTTGGTGAGGAGGGTGGGGGGGGGGGGCAGTGGGGGGGGGGGGCGACTTTTCCACATTGACCAGACGTGTTGGAAGAGGAGGCGTACAATGACAAAGATCCCCCGTATAGCCTTTAACAGACTGCTGGGGCAAGCACCGAGAGGGTGGGGTGGCCAGCACCACGCCTGGTCGCCTTTGTATCCCCAGTGGCGATGTTTACACATCGCACTAGATACTCAGTTTAAGGCTGAGTCGACCTAGAAGAAGCCCAGGAGCGGAGTGCACTAACCACTGCGCCACCGTTCCCCACGGTAGCGAAGTGTCCAAACTCCACCATACGTTACCTGCCGATCACAGACTAACTGGTGGACCACATCTTCCAAGATGCTTAGTTAGTGTGGAAGAGTAGGCCAAAACACCCTCTCTCTAGAAGGGCTCTCTAGGGCTCCGTATAGCAGTGGCCCGAGCGAGCACTTGCAGGGCTGCGTCTTTATCCTTTAGTATACAAGGCCACGCTTACTTCCTTGTGTGGCGCTGCTGGCGGTCTTTGCTCTGCGTTGTGGCAAAACGACCTCACCCAAGCATGGCGCCAGAAGGAGAGCAATGCTCGAGTGGACGAGGCTTTCTTATTCCTCCCTCTGCTCCTCTTCCTCCTCATCCCCCCACCCTCGTCCTCCCCGTAACCCCCCCCCCCCAGGTCCGCCACCTGGACCGGGTGGACTCGATGTTGATCACGCACGCCGGCGCCGACAACCTCCCGAGCGTGAACAGCCTCCTGCAGCGCAAGGTGGCGGAGGGCGACGAGGAAGCCTCACAGGGCTCCACCTCGCCCAGCGAGTGGATGAAGAACCTCGTCTCCCCCGAGATCGGCGTCGTCTTCTTCAACGCGCCCGACCTTCCTCCTCACCCTCCTTCCTCCTCGTCGTCGGCCGGCACCCCGTCTGCCCGCACGGCGGCGCAGGAGGCGCGGCTCACGGTGCAGCTCCTGCAGAAGCTCTGCATCAAACCCGAGCCGCTCTTCCGACCCCCGACCTCCGACGCCCTGAAGCCCGTGACGCTCTTCCACAAGATGGGCGTGGGCCGCCTGGACATGTACGTGCTCAACCCGGTGGGCGACAGCGAGGAGCTGCGGCGCTTCGTGCGGGGCTGGGCCCGCGACCCCTGGCGGCCCCGGCACCGCACCACCCTTGAACCACGTGACGTCTATCTCGGCGCTCGTGGTGTGGCACCCCGTGGCGCCGTGCGAGAAGACTGTGCGCGTCCTGTTCGCCGGCTCGGCACCGCAGGGCAAGATTCCTCGAGGGCCTCGACAGGCTGCGGCACCTGGACTTCCTGCGCAGGCCCGTGGTCACGGAGAAGGACCTCGCGGTGGGCCGCGAGAAGGAGGATGCGGCGGCGGCGTCTCGGCCGGCCGGCGACAGGGCGCCGCCACTTCCGCCGGAGGCCCGCGGGGGGGCGCGGGGGGGGACCAGGGCCTGGGTCACGTGAACGCCGACGGAAGCGAGGAGGTGAAGAGCTGGCGGGCCGAGCCGGCCGAGGAGGAGGCGGCGGCGGGGTCATCGGCCGTGGCCCCGAGCGAGGCCGCGGTTCCCGAGAACCGGCAGGAGAAGAGGGAGGCCGTGCCGGCGGAGAGCAAGAAGGTGCTGAAGGTCCCGAAGAAGACGGTGAAGGATCCGCAGGAGAGGCTGAAGAGGGCAGACAGCGTCAGCCAGAAGGAGAAAGAGGGGAAGCAGCCGAGGAAGGAGGTGAAGCGGGAGAAGGACGTGACGAAGGAAGTGAAGCGCGACGACGTGAAGAAAGCGGAGCGGAAGGTCAGAGTCGAGAAGAAGGAGCTGAAGAAGGAAGAGGTGAAGAGGGAGGTGAGGAGGGAGGTGAGGAGGGAGTCGTCGCTCTCGTCGAAAACGGAGGAAGAGCCGAAGAAGACGGCCAGGGCCTCGGAGGGGAAGGTGAAACGAGAGGCCAAGGAGGTGAAGAAGGACGTTCGCAAGCCAACCAAAAAGACCCCGGAGAAGCCGCTCAAGAGGGAATCTTCCCTAAAGGAGACAGCGCCCGTCGCCGCAAAGACCACAGACAAAGCCAAAGCGAAGGGGGACAAGAAGAAGGCCGACGGCCCAGCCAGGAATGTCGCGGTGACCGCTCCGAACGTGGCGCCGTCACCCGCCCTGGCCACACTCTACACAAAGATGGAGCAGCAGCTGGAAAGGTCCCGCATGTCCACACCTGAAGATCTGACCCGTGACTTTGAAGACCTCAAGCAGGTGGAAGGGGAGGTGGGGGAGGAATCCGGCTTGGAGATCATCGATAAGGGAGACGTCCCCGTGGAAGATGAGGTCCTGGAGGACCGGAGTCCTGAGACGCCGCTGTCCAAGGAGGACATTGTCCCGAGCATCGGCGAAGAGCCCTGCTTCCGCACCGCACTCTCCACGGAATCCCCCGACGAAGGGATCGCAGCCACGGACGGCGAAGCCGAGCTCGAGTCCTCACCTCCCGAAGAGTCCGGCGGCGAGATCAAGGTGGGGAAAGGAGGCGTGGGCCGAGAGGAGGGGGAGGAACGCAAAGTGGCGGCGGTGGTGGAGGCGGAGCAGGAGGAGGACGATGCTTTCGGGGAATCTTCCGACACAGGGGACTACGAGGAGAAGGCCGAGACCGAAGACAATGACGAACAGGAGTTCAAAGAGAGGGACAGCACGCGGAACGACGCGAACAACGATGCGGGGCAAAAGCCGGGCCCGGGCGGCGGCGAAGCCTCCGAGGGTCCTGGAGACAGCGGTGGCGACGAGGCCGGCGGTGCCATCGCGGGAGACGCCGCGAGCTCCGCTCGCCCCGGAGCGCCGCGGGATTCTGATAGCCGGACCGATTCGGACGGAGCTGCCAACCAGGCCGACGCGGAGAGCTCCGATGAAGAGCCTGAACGACGTGAGGATGGCGGCGGCGATGACGATGACGAACAAGAAGAAGCTGCTGCTTTCGAACGCGAACGTGAAAAAGTGTCGTCAAATCTGACGGAAAACTTCCCCACGAGCGGTGGCAAAGTGCCGTCTGCACCATTGCACTACCCTGCCGCGGATAATCTGTCCACCTACCTAGAGATGGAGTCTCTGGCCTTCGTAGGGAACCAGACACTTGGGAACGGAGCCGCTGGGAACGGAGCCGCTGGTAACGGCCACGCGTCGAAGCTCCACGTGGACCTAGCAAACCCAGCGTGGTTGGAGAGGGAGCGCCTCGACAGCGAATCGTCTTCCACGGTGACCCGCACGGAGGAGACGCAGGGCAAGGACTGCATCGTCTCGGCACACACGATATCTCCCACCTCTTCCATCGAAGAAGACAGGTCCTTTCAACTGCAGCCTGCGAAATTCTGCCTTGCCAACGTGGCCAAGAATGGCGAGGAGGGAGGGGAGGGAGGGCAGCTGTTCCGGCGAGGTTCGGCGAGCAATGGAAGTCCCCAAAAGAGCCCGGTTCCTCCGTCGCCACTCCTCAAGACCCCCGGCAGCGAGCGAAGCGTGAACTTTGACCTGACACCCACCGAGATCAGGACGACGCTAGACCGGAACATTCCTTAACTTTGAGCAGAAGCTCAACAATTCGCTGAATGATCATATCATCGACGAGACTACGGCCTTCCGCCCGAACTCCCACGCGGTCTCTCCGCCGGCCAGCGCCGGCCACACGCCGTTCTACCAGTCTCCCGTCGAGGAGAAGTTCAGCGTGGTGCAGGCGGAGGTCGTGGATGCGACCGCGCCGGGCGCGGCGCCGCCCAGCGCCACGAGCCCCGACGGAGAGCAGAACGTGAGCCCCATGGACGAGCCCGTGCCGGACTTTGTCCACTCCGACGAGAAAGTGCTGTCCCCCATGCGCAGCCCCCCGCCTCTGGGCTCCTGCTACCGGCCGCCATCCTGCCAGTCGTCCGCGTCTGAGGAGGAGTCCCCGGGCGGGAGGGATCGGGGCTCGTCGACCACTCCCGAGGCCGCCGAGGCCGCCGGCCCCCCCAAGCTGGACCTGAAGGAGTTCGAGTCGCTGACCGGCGAGGGCGGCACGCCGAAGAGCACGAGGTCGCTGAGCTTCGACAAGATTCCCCCGTCGCTGGGGGTCGCCGCGGACTTCCCCTCGCTCAGCCCCTTCGAGGAGGCGCGGCCGCCGCTCGGCTCGGGCCCGGCCACCGTCGGAGAGGGCGACCGGGCGCAGAGGGCGTCCGGCCGCAAGCACGAGGGGTCTCTGTCGCAGCAGCCGCGGTCCTCCTCGGAGAGGTCTCTGTCACCCGTGGAGGAGAACATCGTGGGGCCGGGCTACATCCAGTTCGAGGCCCCCTCGCCCGAGTCCCAGGGCCCCCGTCGCCCGAGAAAGGCCAACGTGGTGCTTATCCCGGGAAGCGCCGTCGAAACGCGGGCCCCGCCGGAGAAGGAGTGGCGCTACTTCACGGTCGACGACTGCCGCGATCGCCCCGAGCGGGAATCGGCAGCGATGGGGCGTGGAGAAGAGCGTTCACACGAACGTGAAGCTGCCCCTCGAGCCGTGGCCAACGGCCCCACAGAGGTGGACTTCTCCCCATCGGCGGAGGACCCAGGGCCTTGCCTCCTCTCCGACGCGAAGCCGGGGTGGAGCAACGCCCTGCCGGGCCCCGTGGCACGACCCGAGCCCGTCCTCAACCTGAGTTTGCGCAAATCCGACAACTCCCCCGAGTCGTCCGCGCCGGAGGGCGACCCCGCAGAGAGCGGCGGCCGTGGGTCTCCCCGCGGGGGGAGCGGCCCCTCGCTAGAGGGGTCCCCCGCTGGGTACCCCGTCGTGGAGCTCGCCGAAACGCCCGACGCAGCCCCCGAGGAGGAGCCGGAGTCGGGCCGCTGGCCCTTGATCGAGTCCGTGACGTCGCCCTCGGACCCGCTTGCCGGCTCCCCGCTCACCTCGCCCATCGTCGAGGAGGTAGCCTCTCCGGAATTGTCGAGGAACTCCTCGTTCAGGTCCTCCTCCCGCACCCTCGAGGGGCCGTCCGTGGTGGAGGTGCCGTCGCCCCGAGCCCACCGTGACAACGCGCCAGCCATCCCGGCACGTGGTGACGGCGCGCCGTGCGACCAGGGGAACGACTCGACTGGCCGCAGAGCTCGCAGCGACGACGACGATGACAACAACGATGGTGGCAGTGGGTTTCTTATCAGCGAGGCTACACCTCTTGCTGCTGTGGACTTGTGCCTCGTGTCTCCCTGCGAGTTCAAGCACGCGAGGGCGTCGCTGTCTCCGATGTCCGATGGGGACAACCGACGTGGCGACAGACCGTGGAGCCCAGGAGGTTGGGACCGTGGAGAGAAACGGGAAGAAGAGGAAGAAGGCGGAGGCGGCATCTTGGCGAGCGAGGCCGGGCCCTTGTGTGGGCCTGTCGGGCCGCCGCCGCCACCGCCGCCACCGCCAGCCGCATCCCGTCACCACCACCACACCCACCACCGCCACCACCACGACGACGACGACACGCCGCCCTCGTCCGTCAGCGAGTCGCTGCCCACGCAGACGGACTCGGACGTGCCCCCCGAGACGGAGGAGTGCCCGTCCATCACGGCCGACGCCATGCTGGACTCGGACGACGACTCGGAGTGCCTGCCCGCCGACAAGCCGGCGCCGGCCCCGCCGCCTCCCCCGGCGCCTTCGTCCGGCTTCCGGCATCCGGCGGCGATGACGGCGGCGCCGCCGGATCCCCGCCCGCCGGCGCGGGACCCCGGCGTGGCCATGGTCGACCCCGAGGTGGCGACACCGCAGGACGGGCCGCTCAAGCGGGAGCCCGGGGAGAAGGCCGCCAAGGGTCGCAAGGCGACGGCTGCACCCTCCTCGCCGGGCCGGAGGTCGCACGCCAAGGCCAGGGCGGCCGGGGTGGCGACAGGCGCGGGGAAGGAGGAGGAGAAGAAGAAGGCGAAGAAGAAGAAGGAGGAGGAGGAGGATGTGGAGAAGGATGCGGCGAAGAGCCCCAATGGGAAGACGCGGGCACGGGTTGATGGGAGGGCGGCCGGCACGGGTGAGGCTGCCCTTCAGCAGTAGCAGCATCACTATTATCATCAGTACCAGCATCACTATCACCATCAGCAGCAGCAGCACCACCATCAGCAGCAGCACCACAATCAGCAGCAGCAGCACCACTATCAGCAGCAGCAGCACCACTATCAGCAGTAGCACCAGAATCAGCAGCAGCACCACTATCAGCAGCAGCAGCACTATCAGCAGCAGCAGTATTGTCTGCATCGCCATCGTCACCAGCAGCGTCATGGCTCGTTGCTGTTGCCGCCAGCAGAGCGCGCTCGGCTCCCCTCCCATCGTGGCGAGCCCTGCGCGTGATTCCCTTGCGAGCTCCCCTCGATTGACATCGCTTCCCCGCCGTGTAACCGCGTATCTGTACACCCTGTTTGCCTGCCACCTGTTTACCTGCCACCTGTGTGCAGTCACCTTTATATCCAGTCACTTGTGTACCTGTACTCCTGTGCCCATGTGTGTGGGTGTGTGGGAGACAAAGGCGGCCGGGCGTGGTGGTGGCCACCCACCCCCTCGTGTGCCGTGCCGGCCTTCACATGCGCTCGCTAACAGCACTGGCCCCTACAGTCTGTGAAGGTTATACGGGGGATCTTTGTTTTTGTGGGTAGCGGTAGTGTAGTGGTAAACTTTCTGTACTACGAACCCGTCGACCCGACTTCGATTCCCGCCCATGGCCAACACCAGTGACCATTATCTGAATCAGTTCTGGGTCTCCCATAGGTCGACTAAGTTTTAAATGAGTACCTGGCGTGGCGTGTAAACGTCACCACTGGGGAGACAAAGGCGGCCGGGCGTGGTGGTTGACCACACCACCCCCACCGTCCCGGCCGCCGCAGGTGCTGCTCGCAAACAGCCACTCGCCCCAGCGGTCTGTCAAAGTCGACACACGCGGGGGGGGGGGATCTTTGTCTTTGCGTGTTCACGTGCGGTGTGCGCCCCCCCCCCCCCCCCACTCTGCGTTGTGCCGCTGCAGGCGCGGGGCGCTCCTCCCCGCGGGGGGCCGCCCCCCTCCCCGTGCACGTGGACCTCGCGTTCGTGCCGGGGCACGCCGCGCCGGGGGCCTGCGACGCCGAATTCTTCCGGCGGGTGCGAGCGGCGCACTACGTGGTGAGCGGCGCCCACTCGGGCGCCAACCAGCCCTGCCGCGCCGTGCTCGACGCGCTGCTCCGGGGGAAGGCCACCTGGGGGGGCGACGCGCAGGTGAGCGGGGGGGGGGGGGCGGAGGTGGGGGTGGAGTGCTGACTCAGCGCAGCTCACAGTTCTGTTGCCGGCACCACGCACACACCTGTGTCACCTGTACAGTGCACACCTGTGTCACCTGCACAGTGCGCACCTGAGTGTCACCGTGACTGATCGTGGTGGTGTGTGGGGGTGTGTGGGGGTGTGTGGGGGTGTGTGGCGGTGTGTGGTGGTGTGTGGGGGTGTGTGGGGGTGTGTGGGGGTGTGTGGGGGTGTGTGGTGGTGGTGGTGGTGGTGTGTGGTGGTGTGTGGGGGTGTGTGGGGGTGTGTGGGGGTGTGTGGGGGTGTGGGGGTGTGTGGGGGTCCAGGTGACGGTGGTGCCCACGCACGACACGGAGGTGCTGCGCCAGTGGTTCCACGAGACGCGCGAGGAGCAGCGCCGCCTGCACGTCGCCGTGCTCGCCGCCAACAGCACCGTGCTCATGCAGGGCGAGGCGTTCCCCGCCTGCAAGGTCGAGTTCTGAGAGTTCCGCCAGCAGCGTGGTGGGGGGGTGGGGGGGGGGGGCTGGGTGGTGGAGAGGGGGTGGGGGCCTCCATCGTCATACAACGACGCCTCACGACCGGCCACGATCAAAATTGCAGAATATGTATTTGTACAACACTCCCCCCACAAGGTGCACACCATCTCGACATGTAGCGAGAGATACAGCCACGCCGTCTACTTACAGAGAGAGAGAGATCGAATCCCAGCGTGCAAGGTCGGGGCCTGAGTCGCAGGGTTCACCCAACCCCGAATGTCATCCATGTACACCCTTGGCATGCGGCGTCAGAGACGTCCCAGACCACATGGGCCACCAGCGGCCACAACTCACCGCCCCCCCCCTTCACCGCAGGGCGGCCACACCATCGATCTTACACGGGCGTCACCACCTCTCGCGATGCTGCGATGTCATATCCACGACCCCCCCTCCCGCCTCGCCCCCCCCCCCCCCACCACTGCCCCCCCAGACTTGGGGATCACGAAACAGGGACCCCTGACCCCACCCCCCGCTCCCCTCCACTGTTCTGTGCGGCTGAGCGGGGTGGACATTTCACGCTCGCAGCGGTCACGAATTTGAAACGCAGCCGAGTGTTCGCGCTAAACCTGTCTGTGTCGTCATGGCCCTCCACCACCCGGCACGGCCAAGCAAATCACAACGCCACGTGCTGTACGCGCGGAGTGACTAAGTTACCGTGATGACAAGGGCACAATCGTCGGGCCCCGAGTCTCGGTGCGGTCGAGGGGGCTCGTCCCCACGGGCTGTCCGCCGGTGTCGCTGTCGGTGCGGTGCAGGTCACGTGGCTCCACCAGCCGAGTGGTGATGGAGCGCGGCACTCACGCTGTCGTGGCGGCGCAGGTTGTGGTGAAGTGCATGATGGGTGAAGCGGTTCGGGAATGGTCACGACGATGTCCAGCCCTGACCCCTACCCCTTACCCAGACCCTCAACCCCAATGCTATCCCTGACCCCGTAACCTAACCCCTACATCCAAGTGGGTGGGGGGGGGGGGGGGGGGACACACCACATATCTGCTAGGAGTGTAGAGAGGAGGAGAGGGATCGTGTGTGCGTGTGTGGAGGACGAGGGGAGGAAGATCTCCCGGTGCTCGTGTGTGTGGGGGTCGTTAATGAGTTGTGCGGGGGGGGGGGCAGAGTACGGGCATCACTGCTAAACGAGTGAGTGGGGGTCCCCTGTGCCCCCCTCCCCCGCGCCCCCGGCTCCGTCCGTGGCTGTGTGTCCATTGGAAGGCAGCAGGCAAAGGGGCAGCCCTGCAACAGCCTTGCTCACGCCACCGCTCGCGGGTGGGACCTCCGCTTAGAGGGAGCATCTGGAGGGTACTTGGCCTACCACGTTGGCCATGGCGTGGGGGGAGAGGTGGGAGTATTCACACTTTACCCCACCACTACCACCACGACACGTGACCGCTGGTGCCACCCATTCACAGAGTCACAGGGGGATGGATCCAATGTCGCTTCGGAGCTGACCCGTGCATTCAAAGCGTGTGGCGGAAGGCGGAGTCGAACCCATGCTCCCCCAGTCTGGGTGGCCAGTGTGGCTCACCGCTGCACCACTGCGGCATCCTCACTAAATTGGAAGCGGAATTTAGAGTTGTAATTCATAATAGATGTGTTTGTGTCGTCAAGACCCTCCACCAGCCGACACAGCCAAATACACTGATTTGTCAGGAGGTGTTACACTCGTTTAACAAAGCGAGGATTGTCATTGTTTGAGCTGACTCACTGGTGAGCGTGTGTGAGTATGTGTGGGTGAGTGTGTGGGTGAGTGGGTGAGTGTGTGTGTGTGGGTGAGTGGGTGTGTGGGTGAGTGGGTGTGTGGGTGAGTGTGGGTGTGTGAGTTCCGGCCTTCGTAGGTGCTGGCTAACAGCACTTGCCCCAACAGTCTGTTCAAGGCTATACGAGGGATCTTTGTCTGTGTGTGAGTGGGTAGATGTGTGCCAGTGCGTGAATGAGTAACTGATGGTGAGTGTGTAAACATCGCCACTCGGGAGACAAAGGCGGCCGGGCGTGGTGCTGGCCACCCACCCCCTCGTGTGCCGTGTTGGCCTTCATAGGTGCTACTCGCTAACAGCACTTTGCCCAAACAGTCTATTAAGGCTATACGGGGGATCTTTGTCTTTGTGGGAGTGGATGAGTGAGTGGGTGAGTCAGTGAGCTGAAACAATTGTAGTCGTTGTTGTTGTTAAACGCTTGTACGCCACGTGACGATTTGTTTGGCTGAGTCGGGGTAGTGGTGGAGGGTCCTGACGACACAACTGTGGCCGGATCATTGCGTGGCTTAACCCCACAAAGGTCAACTGTGACCGATACGTAACAGTGGCTGCGGATAGCCCACGCCTTTAGCCGGAGGTTTAAACGCTCGCAACTTTTACGCAGATTTCCGCAGGCTTCCTTGCCACCATGCTCATCAGCTGTGTTTCTGTCTCGCTATGCTTTCGCTCATGTGGTGATTTACGTCTAATCGGATGAAACGGCCGCAATGGAAGCGCAGACAAAGCGTGTTTGGTGTGGCCAGAGCTTCGTCAGCCGGAGCTGTCCAGGGCCGAGCTCCAGAAAATGGGAAAGGGGGGGGGGGGTGGTTAGGAGTTGCGGGTCAAAGGGTGGGGGGGGGGGGGACTCCTGGAGAATATTCCATGGGTGATTAAGTGGTGGTGGTGGTGTGAGTGGAGGAACTAGACACGGGGGGGGGGGGTGATCCCATGAGCACGGTAACTGCTCGCCACTGTGATCACGACGTCAGCTGTTGCTCAGCTGCGCTCAGTCATCCGCCTGCGTTGTCGTCCAGAGCAGGGCTCCTCGCTGGGGGTTGTCACCCCCCCGCCCCCCATGGGCAATTGGAGGGGGGCAGGGGGATGGGGGAGGGGGGCTTCATGGACAAAGAGGTGAATTTTCTGCCCCTTTTAACGCAGCTGATGAGCACAGGGACCAGAACGTGAAGCGGCCAGCGACAAACAGCGCCGTTGTCGAGGGGAGGGGGTGACCTTGCTCTGAGTCGCCGCTTGCGTGCATTGCCTTGAGGTAGCGCTCACTGCCACCACCACCACCACCGCCTCATCATCATCATCAAGCCAGGGGGTAGATAAAGTCGTGTAGCATTCAACTTGGTGGGGGGGAGGGGGGGGGTGTTTGGGGGTGCTCGCGTGAAGACGCGGGGGGGGGGGGGTTGGTTGTTTGAGACCGCAGAGGGGGGGGGGGGGTGTTTGTGTCGTCGTAGTCGCCCTGCTGCTGTAGCTGCTGCTGCTGTAGCTACTGCTGCTGCTGTAGCTGCTGCTGCTGCTGTAGCTGCTGCTGCTGTAGCTACTGCTGCTGTAGCTGCTGCTGCTGTAGATGCTGTTGTAGCTGCTGCTGCTGTAGCTGCTGCTGCTGCTGTAGATGCTGCTGTAGCTGCTGCTGCTGTAGCTACTGCTGCTGTAGCTGCTGCTGCTGTAGATGCTGTTGTAGCTGCTGCTGCTGTAGCTGCTGCTGCTGCTGTAGATGCTGCTGTAGCTGCTGCTGCTGTAGCTACTGCTGATGTAGCTGCTGCTGCTGTAGATGCTGTTGTAGCTGCTGCTGCTGTAGCTGCTGCTGCTGCTGTAGATGCTGCTGTAGCTGCTGCTGCTGTAGCTGCTGCTGCTGTAGCTGCTGTAGCTGCTGCTGCTGTAGCTGCTGCTGCTGTAGCTGCTGCTGTAGCTGCTGCTGTAGCTGCTGCTGCAGTAGCTGCTGCTGCTGTTGCTGCTGCTGTTGCTGCTGCTGTAGCTGTTGCTGCTGTTGCTGCTGTAGCTGCTGCTGCTGTAGCTGCTGCTGCTGCTGTAGCTGATGCTGTAGCTGCTGCTGTAGCTGCTGCTGTAGCTGTTGCTGCTGTTGCTGCTGTAGCTGCTGCTGCTGTAGCTACTGCTGTAGCTGCTGCTACTGCTGTAGCTGCTGCTACTGCTGTAGCTGCTGCTGCTGCTGCTCTCTGTGCGTGCGTTCGTGAACGGCTGCGGCTGAGCCCGTGGTGATATGCAAACTCGTCCTCACTTTCACTCGGAGGCCGCCGCCGCTGATGATGGCGGTTGAATTTCTCCGGAATTTCGCTCGGGGAGGGAGGGATGGAGGTCGAGATGGATGGAGGGATCGAGAGAGATTGGTGGAAGCCAAAGAGCTTCCGATCCTCAAGATAAATGGAGGCAGGAAAAGGCGTGAAGTGTTTGAGCGATTAAGTCGTGCGGGGAGCGTGTGAATGAGGACCCGAGACGAGGGATGGAGAGATGCAGTGATGATGGGAGTGTCGAGAGAACACGCAAATCATCGAGTGAGGCAGGAATAGAAGAAATGAATGACGCGGAGGGAATGAGTGGAGGAAGGATTGAATGAGTGTTGAGATATTAAGCGGGACAGAGGGAATGAGTAACGGAAGCAATGGAAGGAATAGACTGATGGTGGGGGGAATGATTCAGGGATGGATGACTAAAGTGCTGAAGAGATCGGTGTAACTGAGTGAAGCGTGGAATGACGAGTGGAGTGACCGAGATGGTGAGGGGTAGAGTGAAGGAGTGATTGCGAGGTTCAGCGATGTGGATGGAGGAGGGCGCGATGGAGAGGAACGGTTGGAGTGAGAGAGACGAGGGGATGGGATCGTGAGTGATGTATGATGGAGGACTTGCTGGATTGGAGAAGTTTAAGGAAGGTGGTGGTGGATGTCGTGATGGAGAGATACATTGATGAAGGCTTTATCAATACAATGAAGGGGTGACGGAAAGGTGGACTGATGGAGGAATGAATTAAGCGAGGAGCGATGTTGAGCGATGATGATGAAGGGCGCTTATGGTGCAGAGAAGTCACGTGTGCCGTATAAACCACGTGACCGCGTCCCAGAGTAGACGGGTAAATGCATGTCCATCCCTGATGATTGCGTCTTAAGTGAAACGTTCACCACAGGGACAACAGGAACAGAGGAGGAGGCGGAGGACCGCGGGGCGTGTAACTTGAGGCTGTGCTCGGCAGAGTTCGCTGTAACAAACTCGAACGATGCTATCACCACTTACAGTAGACATCATCATAATAATAATAAAGGTGATTTGGCCATGTCACACCGGTTTGACGCGTCCCTCCCTGAGCTTGTGCTGTGGCTGCGCATCACGGAGCTCCATCGCCAACATCATTAAGCTCCATCACCAACATCACTACCATCACTGCTCGCCCGAGCACCATCATCGCCGACATCATGACTACAAACAACAACAGCCTTCATCCACGGCGTTTGTGCCAGGCTAGGTGCACCTTGGGCCACGCAAAGTGTTGAAGTCTTGCTGCTGGCAGAAGGTCACGGGACAGACCCAGGTGCTATAGGTCGACTGAGATGCCTGGCAGATGCACCCCCTGCGGTCCACATTGTGGCAACTCGCTGCATTTTATTTGCTCGGCGCTCCTCCGTTCTTGCTGGAGGGCGACTGCCTCCCACTGCCCAGAAGCAGCAGCAGCAACAGCGTCCTTCACGAGCCACCCCACCTCCTACACAGAAGCCGATCTTGACACCGCTGGTAGCGGTCTTTGGTAAGTCAACTCACCTCCACATCCTCCTGTACCGTATCGACTCCATCTCGTCTCAATCCTGTGCAGCGCCCGTTCAACCTCCTCTACCCGGTCAAACAGAAGCTGATTGGGCACGCGGTGGCTGGGCATGCGGGCTACGTGGCCCAGCCAGCGCAGCCTTGCTTGCCGGAGGAGCTCGCCGATGGGACTAAGTCCAGATATTTCAAGGATCTGTGAGCTCCTCACACTTTAATCCAGCCCGGTTAAACCCAGGATGGATTGTAAGGCAGGCCGGCCTGAATGTTTCGGAGCGATGTTCATTCAAAGGGGTCCGATGAGACCCGGAGCATCGTACGGAGCGACAGGCCAGGCAGCCTCCACAGCGTTCCGTCGCCGACGCCAACACGCACGCACCACGCCAACCGCACACGCCCACCACGTCACAGAGACAAAGATCCCCCGTACAGCCTTGAACGAACTGTTGAGGCAAGTGTTGTTAGCGAGCACCTTTTAAGGCCGGCAAAGTACTCATTTAAGGCTGAGTCAACCTTGGGGAAGCCCTGCAGGACCGGTTCAAATATCGGCTGTCACCGTTATTGGCCTCAGCGTGGCCTGTGACGCCACATCGCACTCATCAACGTCATTGTCCATTGTGACGTCTGATGTGTCAATGGCGCCATGAGGCTGGGCCCGGCGACTCTGCGAGTCTGTGGCTCAGCGGCGCTTAGAGGGCCGCGCTGGTGGATCGCGCCGAGATTTGTCAAACTCCAAAATCTCGCCCAGCTGCCGTGGGGGTGGCCCAGAGGTTGAAGGCCGCAAGTGGCTTCGTGAACCCGCCTGGGGTCGTGAACCCGCCTGGGGACGCGTCAGACAGCTCGCAGGAGGCTCCCGAACCACCGAGTCACGAGGCTCGCGGCGAGACGGCGTCGGCCGCGAGACGCTCGCACAGACCGTCACACAGACACAACGCTGCAGACATTTTCGCCAATGTTGGGCCTCCGCGGGGAACAATATGACGAGTCGATGTTTCGGGCAACGGTCCTTGTGTGCAGATAAATGCATCCGATTATCAATAAATGTGCCCTTGTAATGTGAGCAGAGGTTGATCGGCTCGGAAGGCTGGACCGGATCTTCGGACCGGAGTCGCCGAATCCCATTCGCGCACAGCGGCCGACGAGTCCATGCTCTAAGTAAATGGACTCCACAACAGATTTTGCGAGTGACCGCTGCGGGTTCCTGAGCCTTTATTCATCTCCGTTTGACGTCGCCCTTCGCTGTAGTTCGTAGAAAAACCCGCAATGGATCATAACTCAAATCCGTTGCAGCTTGGAGCCTGGATTTCACAAGTTCTTAGATAAACCCGCAATGGATAATAACTCAAATCCGTTGCATCTTAGAGCCTGGATATCACAAGTTCTTAAAAAAACCCGCAATGGATCATAACTCAAATCCGTTTCAGCTTGGAGCCTGGATTCCACAAGTGCATCCTGCCTGGGTGTCTCACTGTGACACCGCCTTGTTTGCTGCGCCCTGCCTAACGGAGCCCATGCTGTTATGTATAACAAGCACGCATTGTGAATGTTGATAAACAGTGTCGTTCATGGGGGGGGGGGGTGACCATACTTCACCACGCTGGTCAATGCCCACACTGTGTTGCTAGGAATCGAATTCGGGTTTGTCGGGTTCATGCATAGCGCAGTGCGCTAACCACTGCGCCACCGCTGCCGCCCCCTTCCTCCTCCCCAAACGATGCGGAGGTTATCCACCCCGCGTGACATTGATGATGAAAGAGCAGGGAAATGTAATTACAATTCATAAGTGGAGCGATTTGCCATCGTTCCAAATTCAATGGGAAACTCACTGATGTCACTCCGGACTATTCCATTTGTCGTGATACCTGGAGGGGGACGGGGGGTGGCGACAAGAGGCAGCGCTGACAAAGCGGGACGAGTCCACTCCGAGTAAAAAAAGGGGTGATGCGCAGAGCCGTCCCGAGGTGCACGGCGAAGCTGGGCGACTGCCCCAGGCCCCGCGTTTTGGGGAGTCCCCGCGCTTCCACGTCACCATGTCGATGTTCGATGTCATCCTCCCGGTTTAGTTTGAAGGCGTCGGTTGTGGCTCGCCCCGGGTCCCGCACCCCCTATGGCCGGCCCTGGTGTGGTGATGGGTTTGGGCGGGGAAGCTCATCCTCAGTGTTATTTACTGCCCCCCAATCAAGACCACTGGCTTCCGGGCCCCCCCCCCCCCCACAAGAGTGGCGGGGCTCGCAAGGCACGTGGTGGTGGTGCTGCACCTTGCGTGCCAGTGCGCTTTGTCGCCGCAGCGTGGCGTTGACATCCCTGACGCATCTTCAACATTTCGCTTGCACGGTATCCACGCTGCAGGCAAATCTAAATCCTACGGGGGCTGTCTGTGGGTGGGGCTCCACGGCAACGGGTGGGATGTAGCTGCCAGTAAGTGACATTTACGGCCCTTGTCTCAATCCACTCCTGGATGAAGACCTCCCTACGCCACAGCGGGGGGGTCGTGAAGGGGGGGGGGAGTATTTGACCATACTTCACCACGCTGTATCATTATCACGACGCTTTTTGTACGTGTACCCGGGCAAGCGTCGCCGAGTCTCATGACTCTTTTGTCGGAGGGTCCTGCCAAGTCGCCGCTGTAGAGGGGGTAGGGGGTGCTGCTGCTGCTGTGTGATCCCAATCGAGTCATTCATCATCCGTGCTGTCGATTTTCAATTTTTTTACCCAATTGAGACCGTGACGCCCGCACGCAATTGCCTCCTCTCGCGAATGCGCACGTCACGGGGTCACCGCCGTCGTCACGCCGTGAAGCCGCGCAGACGGCGTGCAGCCGTCGCGTCATCACTCGTCAGGTGCCTGGGGGGAGCATGGGAGTAGAGTACAACGACGGATGGATGACTGCTGCGGTGTGGTCTCGAGAGAAACCCAAACCGCACACGGCTGCTGTTTCTCTCCAACGAGCACAGAGGGGAGGCGGGGTAGCATTACGAGCAGCAGCAGCAGCATCATCATCACTGCCATCTCTGCAGCTGATGTAATGGGTTCTTGATTGCTCGGTGGGAGGCTGAGGTGGGGCGATACGGGGAGAGGGGGTGAGGGGGGGGCTCCCCACCTCTTACGCTGTCGCATCCTCAAGGACGCGAATACAGTGAGGGCAGCAGCAGCGGCAAGCTGGGCAAGCCAGGCAGCTAAGTGAGCCTCGCGTCTTGTCAGCGCGAGGCCAACCATCGGCAGGTCTGCCGGACGAACTGCGCCCCACTCCCGACAGCTGAGCAGGGCTCGTCGAGGCTGGGAGGCGCTTCACTGACCTGGCAAGCGCAGTCGGTGCTCGCTCGGCGGCAGGCGAAGCAGAACTAACGAGAGCCATTGTTGCCCTTCTCGAATTCCCTGAACGGAAACACAAACTGCGCGACGTTTCAAGGCGCGCAGTGCACGCCCAGCGACGCCACGTGGCAGCCGCTGAAGGGAGCCGCAGGGTGGCGACCCCTGGCAGAGGTGCTGCAGGCGGGCAACACAGCAGGGGCGTCACCAGGAAGCAATCCCCGTACTCGTTGGTGTGCTGTGTCGCCTACTTCGGTGTTCCTGCGTCTTACTCTGCTACTCCCCGCATTCATAAACCAGCATTGACGAGGTGCAGCGTGGTGCAGTATGGTCAAATAGCCCCACCGCGGTTCGTGCGGAGTCGGGGCGATCCTCGTCCAGCAGTGGATTGACGGATTGGGGTCCATGTGCATCATGCAGAGGGTGGGGTCCATGTGCATCATACAGAGGGTGGGGTCCATGTGCATCATGCAGAGGGTGGGGTCCATGTGCATCATACAGAGAGGGGGGTCCATGTGCATCATACAGAGGGTGGGGTCCATGTGCATCATACAGAGGGTGGGGTCCATGTGCATCATACAGAGAGGGGGGTCCATGTGCATCATACAGAGGGTGGGGTCCATGTGCATCATACAGAGGGTGGGGTCCACGTGCATCATTGCTTGTGTTGCGATCCAAACGTCGTGGTTTAATTATCTTATATCTACGTGACTCTACCGACAGAACCAAAGAGCTGGCACCTCGCTTTGGTGCGTCAGGAAGTCGCGTGGCGGGTTGAGGCGTGAGAACTCGCGCCTCTGCCGAGATGCACTCGGCAGAGTGGCGAGGTTTGGTGGATCACACACAGATTTAGTTCAACTCCCTTCCCGTGCGCGTCGAGGAGCCGTAGCCTGGCTCGCCGGAAGGCCGCGGAGCCAACGTGGACTTGACCCGCTCGCTGTGTTTGGGATATCGTGTTGCCCCCTCGCACGCGTGGGGTTTCCCCAGGCGCTCCAGTTTCCTCCCACATGCGAACACTCATTAATTGGGCCGATAACACCTTGATATACATAGAGAACTGCAGAGCTTGGAGGGGATTTGGCACCGGCTCACCGCCTAGCTGCTGCTGCCTCCCCGCTCGTCTGCGGTTCGCTAACGCGCCGCCGAGTCTCTTCAAGAGTGAGTGGGCAGCGTGGGCACTGGGGGCCCTGCCGCTACCAGCAGTGACGCGAGCAGCAGGTGGAAGGGCCGCGCCTTCACCTTTCACCTGTGATTTAAAAACACACACTCGGCTGTAGCAGACAAACCCGAGTGCACTGTTCTGCCAGATTTACGAATGGATTCTCCTGTAAATATTCCAACGTTGTTCTAACGTTACCCCAACGTTGGCATCGTTTGCCCAACGTTACCCCAACGCTGGCATGTGGTAGATATCTTTTCCCAACGTTACCCCAACGTTGGCATGTTTCCCGCTTGTTCAGTCTCAACCAGGGGTCGCGCAATCGGAATTGATTCAAAACAATGAAAAAAATAAAAAGGCAGTCGCGAATGTTGGGAAACCAACGGACACGGACGTGTTTGGTACTAAAATATAATTTTCAAACACATGCGGCTTAACAAAGCGTTCGTGTTTGTTCTGCAAGGGGTTTCATTGTGTCCATGCCGTGAGCATCATCATTACAAGCAGCAGACGCGCACCGCCGCACGACGCCGAACATCGAAATCACGAAATAAATTAAGAAGCCGGAATGGAGGTTCGCCGCGAGATCGCAAGAAATCTCGGCGAGAACAAAAGACGGCGACATCGTCTTCGTCATCGTCGTCTTCGTCGTCATCGTCTCTTTCCGTGTCCAGGGGGAAGGGAGAGGGGGGAGAGTTGGGGGGCGTGGGGCACGCGCACGGCCGAAGGAAATCCGCGGAAGCTCCACCCGTGACTCGCCCGCTCCGAGCAGAGCGTGGCTCTCAAGACGGCTCTCATCCGCGCATTTCTAATTGATAGGAAAGCTCACGACAAGTTCCGTGCCGATAATAACATTGTGTGTGGCCTTAAAATAGCAGGAATCTATCATGGGCGACGTTTCGGGTAGTGGGCCTTCTTCAATCCATCCTGAACCTTTAGACTTGAGTACCAAGCTCCAAGGCTAATAGGAAGAAAGAACGCATGAACAACCGAATCATTCGCTTATCGCGGTAATTAATTGCTAATCCACTAGAGGGCATCATGAGCCATCATAGCACGTTGCTTGTAAGCGCTCAACGTTGTGGGAGGGTCCCATCGTGTCGAGATGGGAGTGGAAGTTCCAATGTCATCGATGAAACGAGCCGGACATGTGCCGATGAGACCCACGAAGGTCGAGATTAACGTTGGCTGCTCAAAGGCGCGATGCTTCTACTGGGACGCTTAGTGGTGCCGGGAATGAAGGGGCCGGTGGACTTGGCACTGTGGTGGACCAACGACGTTGTTCTGACCCCATGGACGTTCGCGTGTTTACTCGGCGCACAGTCTCACCACGGCGAGCACAATCGGCATGGACTCACGCCACGTGGAGTGACACGGACGAGAGGTTTGGTGGCTTGGGGCGGGGAATTTGTGTCACGGGACGAAGGCGTCGCGAGTCGCTGGCATCACGGGAGCTGTCGAGCGGGCGAGTGGGTGGGGGCCAGGGCGAGTGGGTGGGGGCCAGGGCGAGTGGGTGGGGGCCAGGGCGAGCGGGTGGGGGCCAGGGCGAGCGGGTGGGGGCCAGGGCGAGCGGGTGGGGGCCAGGGCGAGCGGGTGGGGGCCAGGGCGAGTGGGTGGGGGCCAGGGCGAGCGGGTGGGTGGCCTCCGCGGGACCAGGGCGAGGAGACAGACATTTGGAAAATTAGCTACCACCACCACCACCATCACCACCACCATCACCACCACCATCACCGACCACCACCAAATTCACTTTAATTCACGACGCATCCCCAAAATCGGTGGAACTGTAATAGATTCCTGGACCACCCAATTATTTTGATTAATTAGGGCCGATTGTTTGAACGTCATGAATTACGGTCAATCTACTTCTGGATGACAGTCTCCCCCACCTCCCCACACGGTGTGGACATGGGGTGGTGTGACCATGGCTGGTGATGCTGGGTGGGGGAGGAGGCGGACGGGTTCGGGTGCAGGGGCGGTGATGCTGGAGTCGTCTAGGGGATGTCTGCTCCTCGCAGCGCGGAGAGAACAGCGGAGGGGAGGAGGAGGATGGCACAGGGGAGAGAATCACTCGAACGCTGACGGGGAACACCAGCCCTGCCCATGTAGCCCGAACCACAACAACCCTGCCCCTAACCACACTACCTCTACCCCTAACTACACCAGCCCTGCCCCTAACCACACTACCCCTGCCCCTAACTACACCAGCCCTGCCCCTAACCACACTACCTCTACCCCTAACCACACTACCCCAAACCACACTACCCCTACCCCTAACCACACTACCCCTAACCACACTACCTCTACCCCTAACCACACTACCCCTAACCACACTACCTCTAACCACACTACCCCTAACCACACTACCCCTAACCACACTACCCCTACCCCTAACCACACTACCCCTAACCACACTACCCCTAACCACACTACCCCTAACCACACTACCCCTACACCTAACCACACTACCCCTGCCCCTAACCACACTACCCCTGCCCCTAACCACACTAACCCTCACGACACTCGCCCTTTCCCTCACCACACGAGGCCTCACCAGCCCTGCCCCCATCTCTATCTGAGTCGTGTGCCCGCAATCGGCCCTCGCTCCCCCTCTCGCTCCCCCCCTCGCTCCCCTATTGCTCCCCCCTCGCTCCCCCCTCGCTCCCCCCTCGCCCCCCCCCCTCGCTCCCCTATTGCTCCCCCCTCGCTCCCCCCTCGCTCCCCCTCTCGCTCCCCCCCTCGCTCCCCTATTGCTCCCCCCTCGCTCCCCCCTCGCTCCCCCCCTCGCTCCCCGCCTCGCTCCCCTATTGCTCCCCCCTCGCTCCCCCCTCGCTCCCCCCTCGCTCCCCCCTCGCTCCCCCCTCACTCCCTCCTCCGCCGCCTCTGTGCCGACCGCGTCGTGGTGCGTGGTAGACGAGGTGAGACGAGGTGAGACGAGGTGAGACGAGGACGGCCCCTGGTCCCGCCGTCACCCTCTCATCGCGAGCAGCCGTGCGATGGCCCTCGCCGCGTCCGCCCGGCCCGGGTCTCCGCGCAGGCGGTGCAGCTCCGCTCGCTCCGCCTCGCCCTCCACCTCGTCCTCCACCTCGTCCTCCACCTTCGTCCTCCACCTCGCCCTGCCGCCGCCGTCCAGCCGCCGAGAGGCCGAGCAGCCGCTCCACCTCGTCCGGCGCGACGAAGTACGGCGGGAGCCGCGGGCCGCGCCGCGAGTCGGCCTCGTCCGCCTTCGCCACCTCGCCGCCGTAGTCGTCGTCGCCCGCCGTCGCCGCCGCCTCCTCCTCCTCGTCCACCTCGTTGCGCTCCGCCGACTCGGAGGCGGGGGGCTCCGGACGGCCACGGGTGCCGGGGAAGGACGAGGTGACTCCTGTGGAGCCCTGCACGGGCAGAGGGAGGGAGAGAGTGTGGGGGAGAGGGGAGAGACAGGGGGGCGAGTAGGGGGGGACAGAGGGAGAGGGGAGAGAGGGACAGGAGAGAGAGGGACAGGGGAGAGGGGAGAAATAGTTGTGGAGGGTTTTGTGACACAAATTTGGACAGATCACTACGTGGCCTAACCCAATAAATCAAGGATGAGTGCATGCGTGGTGGTACAATGCTGCGTGTGATGGTAACCTGTGTGACAACGGCAGTGGTGATAATGCGCACCGCTTACACGCCGGGAAGTCTCCACACATTTGATAGGGGCACCTGCAGTGGCAGCTGTCCCTGTGTATCGAGGATGATTCTTTATTGATGAGTAATTTGCGGTGTATTGGCAAATTTGGAGAATTGAGTCGATGGGACATTCTTGGCAGAATCACCAATACGCAAAAGAAATGATCTATTTGGTGTTTGAACATTTTCACACCTGTTTTTTGCCATAAAGGCTAAAGCCAATTCTTACATTTTTCATCAGTTTGAAACTGGCAAAAAGGTCCCACAGATATAACTGCTGTTCAACCCGAGCTGCACGTGCTCTGATGTTTGCTTTTTCACCTTTTGGCATTCTCTGGTCCAACATCGGCGAGACAATGCCATAAAGAAGGCTGTCTCTGGTGTAGGCCAATGAATTTAAAAGACAATGCCACATATTCAGTATAATTATCAGAGCATGTTTGTTTGCATGCTTAGACGTGTGGTTAATGCAGACTTGGAAGGCTTGCCAGTAAGGTGTCTGTTTGGTGTATGAACATCCTTAACACTTGGCCTGTTATTGTCGCCAGAAAGGATAAAGGCTCTTCTGATATTTGTCATCAAGGGTCTGGAATGCTATCGCCAATAAACTGCAACTTCGATCACTACCTGTGACATATATTCTTGGGTTCTTTCGGTAAAATCACGTAGAAGGGAAATAATAAAATAATAACAAATAAAAATTGTCACGATGTTTCGACTGCAACACAAGCAATCATCAGGTGTGAAATCCACAGCAAGAAAATTTGAAAGAAAGTGGCGGTTTGTCCTGACGTCAGCACCACGGACAGCGATTTGGCAGTTGGCCAGATGGACGAGTCCATCTATGTTCGGAAAAGAGGAGGGGGGAGCAGAAAATGGAATGCGGTCTGAAAGTCACCGTAAGCGTGAACACAATCAATTAAGACCCGAAATGGTTTATCAAATCCTTCCAATGATTGCTAAGCCAGAATCCATCTTCTCGGTTGAAATTGTCTGTGTTTGTATATGTGGATAGCCTCATGAACGAACCTCTCATGGTAGCCAGATGGCTTGCAGAGAACCTCTGTCTTGGAGAAGTCAATGTCATGTGAGCCCACTGAATTATACCAGTGATCTGCCACGGCCGAGGTGTTGGCCCTACCGTGTTTTAGGTCTGCCTTGTGCTCACGGATGCAGTCTGAGACATGTCGTTTGGTTTCTCCAATGTAACTACTACCACAGAGGCAACTCAGTTTGTAGACGCCAGGGTACTCTATGTCCGGAATCACATCTTTTACAGACAGAACCAGATCACGGATTTCATGTAATGTGTTGAATCAGACCTGGAGCTTGTGTTTATTCAAGATTTTGGAGATCTTTTTTGTGACCCCCGCAAAGCTTTAAATCGAAATTTACCTGTGAGATCTTCACTAAAACCTGCCCTAGAGGAGTTGTACACACCTAGCTGCCACTGCTATTCAGAATGGCCTGAAATCAAATGTATCATTCCGGATGACCGCTGCAAAGTATGATCTTGAGTTTTGATTGTGGTGTGCTGATCTTTAAAGGTGTATCGAGAAATGTTTATTCTGCTACTGATGCTCTTGCTGTTATGGTGTGACTTGTGCAACCAGCTATGGCTGCGGGGTTTGGTCGTACATGTTATGTAAATCGTTTGTTGTTGGATTTGAATCACAGTTCCTATGATCACTGTTACATTGTTTTTGTGGCTTTATTTTGGTGTTTCTGAGGACGGTTTGGCTCTGGCCATGTTTGTTTGTTGTGGTACAGAGTTAGACTGATAACTTTAATCTACATTGTCTTATGGTTGTTATTGTTTGACTTGCATCCCACTGGGATTTTTGCACACAGCGTTGAAATTTGGTGCTTTTTCTGGAAGACTTTGCTGTTTTTTCCAGGATTTTTTCTGTTGCGTGTAGTCACTTTAAGATGTTTCTTATTCGTGTTTTTGTTTTGTTGCGGTTGCACCCGAGTCAAGAGCCGCATGGCTCACAGGACTACACCTAATAAATGAAACTGAAAACTGAAATTGGATCATGAGGTGAGACCGCCCCCTCCCGCACCCCACCAGCCGGCGTGAGTCGTACCCACGAGTTGGCGTCAGCGGCGTCCTCCGGGTCCTCGGGCGAGGCGTCCACCCCGCGCCGGTCGTTTTGCACGGCGTTGTAGGCGCTGTAGAGGCGCGGGGCCGCCATGTGCGTGGGGCGCGCGGCTGTGCCGTGCAGCACGAGGCGCCAGGCCACCACGCGGCCCTCGTTCTCCACGTGCCCGGACTGCGGCACAACGGCGATGTCGGTCACACGGCGGCAGTGGCATGCGGTGACATTCCCGACGCGGTGACATTGACGACAAAGTTTTTTGGGAAGATCAAGAATTGTAAAAACGGCACTCTCGGTGGGTTGGTGGGGGAAGGTGAAAGACGCAAAGAGACTGGGAAGCTTCAAGATCCACGTCCGGCAGACACTCACCCGGTCGGTGATGGTGAGGGTCCAGGTCCCCACTGGATTCTCTCCCCACGTGTGCACCGACATGAAGGGCCAGCCCTTGAAGCCGTCGCGAGACGCGTCGCGCTCGCGTTCCGCCAGCAGCGCCGTGGTCGTGCCTGTGGGGGGCCGCGGGGGGGGGGTAGCGATGATGATGGTGGTGGCACAGTGGCGAGCTCTGTCACCGCTCATCTCAGACATCCATCATAGAGGGGTCAGTCAACCCGTGGCGCCTGGGCCTGACTCGTGACCTCCTGCCGGCAGCAAGAGTCTGCCACGCTTCACGTGAGGTGGCCTCAAAGTGCACCTAGCCTGGCACAAGCGCCGTGGTTCACGTCCCCGTTGGCGAATGCCGGACGAGGGCCGTGGGTGGTGAGAGTGACGACCACGAGGACGTCTCAGGGGTGCGAGGGAGAACCACGGACGAGCGGGAAGGCAGCAGCAGCAACAACCGCCTGTGCTCTGCGGTCCTCTGTATATGAAGCTGTAATTATCGGCCAATGGTTGAGCGTTTACGTGCGGGAGGCAGCCCGAGCATCCGGAGAAGACCGGCAAGTGCATTGTGGGAGGAAGCGCCGTGTCCCGCACAGGGGGGACAAGTGGAGTCCACACTTTGCTGTGCCCGCGTCCCCACGACGGCCAAGCGAAGGGAGTTTCGGAGCATCTGTGTGCGAGCCACCAACCCTCGCTGCCTCCACGCTGCTGGATTAATGGTGGTGGTTATGTTGGTGACGTTGGCGGTGTTGATGGTGATGCTGGTGATTACGCTGTTGACATTGGTTAGTGGTGATTGTGGTGGTGATGATATTGGGAAGTGGTGGTGTTGATGGTGGTGGTGGCGGTGTGAGTTTTGTGTGGATCAGAGTCGGGGGGTGAAGGTGGGGGGTGGTGAGTGAGCGGAGTGGGGGGTGAGCGGGGATGAGCTCTGACCCGCGGGCGAGGTGAGCGTGATGTGGAGGTCTCCCCTCCGCGTGTACTCCAGAGTCGTCTCCAGCTGCACGTGCTCCAGGGATCGAATCTCGTTCTCCTGGCCCTCGCAGCCCCGCGTCGGGATGTCCACGGACACCTCACGCCCGTTACCCAGCCACCTGCAATGCCGTGGCGTGGGGGAGGCGGTGGGGGGTGGTGGTAGTGTGGGTGGTGTGGGTGGTGGTGTGGGTGGTGGTGTGGGGGAGGCGGTGGGGGGTGGTGGTAGTGCCACAACAGTTAGCGCGCTGTGGGGCAGCGGTGATGGACCTCCAATTATCGCGGTTTTCTCCGTAGGGCGGTGCGAAAGAAGTTCAATTTCCACTCGTACAGTGCGGCACGCGCGGTCGCGTGCTCGGTGTTTGTTGCAGAGGTTAGCTGTTCGAATCCGGCGTGCCACCCTGGTTAATACTGCGGTGATGTGGTGTATTGACCATAACAATGCTGTGCATCGTCTGCTTCCCAATGGACGTTCAAAGTCGCCTGACATCACTCACAAGAGTAGGAGTGAGGGAGAGAGTGAGTGGGCGAGCGAGTGGGTGGTTATTACTGCGGTGATGTTCATTAAACATCTAAAAGGTACTATTACTACGCACCGTCTGCTTCACTCGCAGTGTAACGATAAAGATCCCGTGACGTCGTTCGCAAGAGTAGGCCATCGTGTGCCGGAGTCACGGTCCACTTTTGAACAATGACACCACGATTCACTCCATTTGGATCACGCGCACAGCTGACACATCGCCCCCTACTGCGGAACGACCGCGGGCCGTGTCTGTGGAACAGCGGCGCCTTCCTCCGTGACGATCGCCCAGCTCGAGAATAACAATAGCGCCAATACCACAATGTGCTCACGATGGAGCGGGTGAGCGGGTGAGTGGGTGGGTGGGTGGGGGAGTGAGTGAGTGAGTGGGTGAGTGGGTGAGTGGATGGGGGAGTGAGTGGGTGAGTGAGTGGGTGGATGAGTGATTCAGTGAGTGAATGATCCAGATAGGCAGGTGAGTGAATGGATGAGTGATAAGGGTGGTTGAGTGAGTAGACGTGTGGGTGAGTGGATGGATGGTTGAGTGAGTCGGTGAGTGAGTGGGTGAGTGGTTGAGTGAGTGGGTGAGTGGTTGAGTGAGTGGGTGAGTGGTTGAGTGAGTGGGTGAGTGGTTGAGTGGATGGTGGAGTGAGTGGGTGAGTGTGTGGGCGAGTGGTTAATGACGGAGTGGTAGAAGTTACCATGAGGGTAAATGCCCAGCCCTGCAATCGCTCGCTGGCACCACTGCTGACGGAAGGGGCCTCCACGAGAGGGAGCTCTACCAAGAGAGCGACTCTAGACTACTCTAGACTCAGTGGAGACTCAGACCACAACACTTCGACCCCCTAACCCCTACACCCCAACACCCTCGCACCCCTACCCCCTAACCCCAGCACCTTTGCCCCTGACCCCCCTGACACCTGCCCGCGCGCTCACCCCACCGCCCACCCCAACCGGGCCGCTCACCTGGGCGTGAACCGGTCGTCTGTGACGACACAGGCCCTGGCGGGCGCCACGTGACGCCACGTGGCGGGCCGCGCGAGCTCCACGAGCGCCTTGGCGTTGAGGAGCCCGAACCCGAAGCGGCTGTTGACCATGAGGCCCGCGCCGTTGCGCTTCCAGCCGGGGTTTTTGGCCAGCGGGTCGTACTCGGACGTCCACACCACCAGGTGCTGCACGTCTCGCCAGGTGAGCGCCGGGCTGCGGTGGTGAGGAGGAGGAGGGGGGGTGAGCCCACAGAACGTGGCTCGCCGTGGCTGCTTGCGCAGTGGGGGAGGGGGGGGCGTCTCGTGGCGACCCGTTCAACACGGTCCACCATCGACGCGGTGACAACCACAAGACAAAGACCCCCCGTGTCGCCCTCACAGACTGCTGGGGCTGTGAGCGAGCGCCTACGAAGGCCGGCACGGCACACGGGGGGTGTGTGGCCGGCATCACGCCCGACCGCCTTTGTCTCCCCAGCAGCGATGTTTATGCACCGCACCTGGTCCTCATTTGAGGCTGAATCGACCCAGGGGATGCCCAAGACTGGTTTAGACAATCGCCACTGGTATTGGCCGTGAGCAGGAATCGCAATCGGGTCACCAAGTTCGTAGTGCAGCGCAGCGCTCACCGCTACACCACCGCTCCTATAACACCATCAACCACCACCCCACCCCGTCTGTATGTACAGTATGTTGAACTTCTTTCGCACTGCACGAAGCCAATCGCGCTAATCGGTGGTGCGGGGGAAGGACAACAAACTAACACACAAAAAGCAGTTCTCAAGCAACGAGTTTGTCAATCTACATGATGATGATGATTTAAAAGTGGCGTAGCTCCAGTGGCTTCCTAATATCGGATGGAAGAGCGTTCCAGACGGCCGCAGAAGCGCTTCTGAAAGCGCCGCGCCTCTCCCCTCCCTCCCGTCCCCCTCCCCTCCCGCCCCCCGCCCCCTCCCCTCCCTCTCCCCCCCGCCTGCCCCCTCTAGCCCCGCCCTCCCTCCCGCCCCCTCCCCCCGCCCCCCGCCCCTCACTTGGCCTCGAGCGCGAGGGCGAAGATCCCGGCCGCCAGCGGCGCAGACGCCGAGGTGCCCGTGTGGGTGTCGGTGCACGCGTTGTGCAGGTCCGCACTCGCCTGCAACAACACCACCATCAACAACAACATCGTCAACATCACCACCATCAACAACATCTTCAACATCACCATCAACAACATCGTCAACATCAACAACATCGTCAACATCAACACCATCAACAACATTGACAACATCAACACCACCATCAACATCGTCAGCATCAACAATACCACCATCAACAACACCACCACCACCAGCACCGTCAACAACATCGTCAACATCAACACCACCACCATCAACAACATCGTCAACATCACCACCATCAACAACATCGTCAACATCAACACCACCACCATCATCAACAACATCGTCAACATCAACACCATCAACATCATCGTCAACACCACCACCATCAACAACATCGATATCATCACCCCTCCAACATCACCACCACCAACATTATCAATATCAACACTAGCTGCAACATCACAATCAACGACATCATCATCAACACCACCATCAACATTAGCACCATCGCCAACATCACTACCATCAACATCAAAATCACCAACAGCATCACTAGCAATGTGATCATGATCATCATCGTCACGAGCTCCATGATAAACAAAGTCATCACCATCATCACCATCGCTGGCCTTAGCGATGCTGATCATGTCATCGTACTTGTTTGTGACATGATTGTTGTGTCTCAATGCCTAGGAGTGTCTGTCTCCATGTGTCTCCATGCCTAGGTGAGTTCATGTCCCGGTGTCCCTATCCCCTGATGTCTCCCTGTCTCCAGGTGTCTCCATGCCCAGGTGAGTTCATGTCCCGGTGTCTCTATCCCCTGATGTCTTCCTGTCTCCAGGTGTCTCCATGCCCAGGTGAGTTCATGTCCCGGTGTCCCTATCCCCTGATGTCTCCCTGTCTCCATGTGTCTCCATGCCTAGGTGAGTCCACGTCCAGGTGTCCCTATCCCCTGCTGTCTCCCTGTCTCCAGTTGCCCCCCCCCCTGCACACGCAGGCTCGTCGAGGGTGGTTGGTGGGTGGAAGCGGTGCGTGGGTGCGGTAGGGGGTACGTACGATGCGCTGGTCGCTGTAGTCGCCGCTGCTGTAGGCCGTCGCCATGGTGGAGGAGCACCTCTCGGCGTACCAGGGCGAGAGGCCGCGCTGCGAGGCGCTGCTCACCGAGATGGTGAACACGCTGTCCGTGTAGCCGTCGCAGTCGCAGTTGTCCCCCTGCCGACCCCCGTTCCCCGACGCCCACACGAAGATGGAGCCCTTCCCGCCGCGACCCTGGCGACGGGGTCACGGGGTCGATGTTCGGGGTGAGAGATAACGACGATACTAATTATAATGGAGGACGTGTGGTGTAGGCGCTGTCGTTCCCACGGTGTAGGGCACGCAGGCGGGTGGGTGGCCAGGGCAGGGCCCTCCTCACCCGCAGGATGCCGTGCTCGAAGGCCTTGCGCGCCAGACGTCCGGGCCCCTCCACGGTGCGGCCGTCGTCGTTGGGGCCCCAGGAGGCGCTGTAGATGTCCACGTGCTGCGGGTTGAAGCCGATGGAGCTCGCCTCGATGGCGTCCGTCACGATGCCGTCTAGCATGCGGATCCCTGGGGGGTGGGGGGGGGGGGCAGGTCAAGGGGCCACGGGGTTACGTGGGGACGGGCGGGTGGTGGCAAGGGTGTGGGAGAGGGCTACGTGGATCGCGTTCAGTTAGCCGTGGTCTAGCCCATCACTGGGGAATCGATCTCTGGCTATTTGGCCACTGTGGGCCACTCGGATCTGATATGGGACCACCACCGTGGAGCGTGGGGTGTGGCACGGTGCCGGATATCAGCCGGAGCGGTGCGGAGAGCCGCTCCGGGAATTAGATCTTGAACACGCCACTGCATCCATCTCTGCGTGATCTCGTCGTTGTGATTCTGATTGGTATTGGGTACACAATCTCTCTCGCTCTCTCGCTCTCTCGGTGCCCTTTCTCAAAGACGTCGGTGAGCGTGGCCTTCCTCCCATTTAGTTCCGTCCTTGATATTTACTCAATAGCTTGTTAGTCTGTGCACAATGTTACACTAAGGGCAATGTTAGTCTGTGAGCGAGTGAGGCGCTCACCTCCCACGCGGGCGTTGAAGGCCACCCCGACGCCACACTTGCCGTTGTTGGCGCGCATGGCGATTTCACCAGCGCAGCGGGTGCCGTGCCTGCCAGGGTACACACGCGGGGGTCACGGGGGTCACGGGGGTCACGGGGGTACACATACAGGGATACACGTGGGTATAAAGATAACGATCCCCCGGGTAGCCTGAACAGACTGTTGGGGCAAGTGCTGTTAGCGAGCGGCGCCTACGAAGTGGGGGCGGGTGGCTGGCAGCGCTCGGCCGCTTTTGTCTCCCGGGTGGCGATGTTTACACACCGCACCGGGTACTCATGTGAGGCTGAGTCGACCTAGGGGAGTCCCAGAAATTATTGTGGCGGTGGCTGTGGTCTCACTTGTTCTCGTTGGTGATGTCGTATCGGGGGAAGGGGTCGGGGTCGTTGTCGTTGAAGTCGTAGCTCGCGTCGGGGTCCTGGGGGTCAGGGGTCATGGGGAGGGGAGCGGGGAAAGGGTTAGTGATCAGGTTCGGGGTAGGGTAGCAGGGTTCGCGTTTAGGATTGTGGGGCAGGATTGGATATGTATGTGTATGTTGAACTTCTTTCACACTGTACGTAGCCAACCGTGCTAATCGGAGGGTATGGTTAGTGGTAGAATAGGGGTTGGGTTGGATAGGGGTAGGAGCAGAATTAGTGGTAGGAATAGGGCTGGAGGGTGGATTGGGGGTGAGCACTCCTTGCATGCTATATCCGAATCGTCCATCACTCAGTGACTCTCCAACTCCAGGCCGGGTTTTGCCGACGCGGTGTCCAGGGCCCATCAACACTGAACACAGCAGCTGCCCCCTCTACCAGACACCCAGCTGCTGCTGCTGCCCTCTCTACCAGACACCCAGCTGCTGCAGCTGCTGCCCCCTCTACCAGACACCCAGCTGCTGCTGCCCCCTCTACCAGACACCCAGCTGCTGCTGCTGCTGCCCCCTCTACCAGGCACCCAGCTGCTGCTGCTGCTGCCCCCTCTACCAGGCACCCAGCTGCTGCTGCTGCTGCCCCCTCTACCAGACACCCAGCTGCTGCCCCCTCTACCAGGCACCCAGCTGCTGCTGCTGCTGCCCCCTCTACCAGACACCCAGCTGCTGCTGCTGCTGCCCCCTCTACCAGGCACCCAGCTGCTGCTGCTGCTGCCCCCTCTACCAGGCACCCAGCTGCTGCAGCTGCTGCCCCCTCTACCAGGCACCCAGCTGCTGCAGCTGCTGCCCCCTCTACCAGGCACCCAGCTGCTGCTGCTGCTGCCCCCTCTACCAGACACCCAGCTGCTGCAGCTGCTGCCCCCTCTACCAGGCACCCAGCTGCTGCTGCTGCCCCCTCTACCAGGCACCCAGCTGCTGCTGCTGCCCCCTCTACCAGACACCCAGCTGCTGCTGCTGCCCCCTCTACCAGACACCCAGCTGCTGCTGCTGCCCCCTCTACCAGACACCCAGCCTTGTTGCTGCTGCTGCCCCCTCTACCAGACACCCAGCTGCTGCAGCTGCTGCCCCCTCTACCAGACACCCAGCAGCTGCTGCTGCTGCTGCCCCCTCTACCAGACAACCAGCTGCTGCTGTCCCCTCTACCAGACACCCAGCTGCTGCTGCTGCTGCCCCCTCTACCAGGCACCCAGCTGCTGCTGCAGCTGCTGCCCCCTCTACCAGACACCCAGCAGCTGCTGGCTGCTGCCCCCTCTACCAGACACCCAGCTGCTGCTGCTGCCCCCTCTACCAGACACCCAGCTGCTGCTGCTGCCCCCCTCTACCAGACACCCAGCTGCTGCTGCTGCCCCCTCTACCAGACACCCAGCTGCTGCTGCTGCCCCCTCTACCAGACACCCAGCTGCTGCAGCTGCTGCCCCCTCTACCAGACACCCAGCAGCTGCTGCTGCTGCTGCCCCCTCTACCAGACACCCAGCTACTGCTGTCCCCTCTACCAGACACCCAGCTGCTGCTGCTGCTGCCCCCTCTACCAGGCACCCAGCTGCTGCTGCAGCTGCTGCCCCCTCTACCAGACACCCAGCAGCTGCTGCTGCTGCTGCCCCCTCTACCAGACACCCAGCTGCTGCTGTCCCCTCTACCAGACACCCAGCTGCTGCTGCTGCTGCCCCCTCTACCAGACACCCAGCTGCTGCTGTCCCCTCTACCAGACACCCAGCTGCTGCTGCTGCCCCCTCTACCAGACACCCAGCTGCTGCTGCTGCTGCCCCCTCTACCAGACACCCAGCTGCTGCTGTCCCCTCTACCAGACACCCAGCTGCTGCTGCTGCCCCCCTCTACCAGACACCCAGCTGCTGCTGCAGCTGCTGCCCCCTCTACCAGACACCCAGCAGCTGCTGCTGCTGCCCCCTCTACCAGACACCCAGCTGCTGCTGCTGCTGCTGCCCCCTCTACCAGACACCCAGCTGCTGCTGTCCCCTCTACCAGACACCCAGCTGCTGCTGCTGCCCCCTCTACCAGACACCCAGCTGCTGCTGCCCTCTCTACCAGACACCCAGCAGCTGCTGCTGCTGCCCCCTCTACCAGACACCCAGCTGCTGCTGCTGCTGCCCTCTCTACCAGACACCCAGCTGCTGCTGCTGCTGCCCCCTCTACCAGACACCCAGCTGCTGCTGCTGCCCCCTCTACCAGACACCCAGCAGCTGCTGCTGCTGCCTCCTCTACCAGACACCCAGCTGCTGCTGCCCCCTCTACCAGACACCCAGCTGCTGCTGCTGCTGCTGCCCCCTCTACCAGACACCCAGCAGCTGCTGCTGCTGCCTCCTCTACCAGACACCCAGCTGCTGCTGCAGCTGCTGCCCCCTCTACCAGACACCCAGCTGCTGCTGCTGCTGCCCCCTCTACCAGACACCCAGCAGCTGCTGCTGCTGCCTCCTCTACCAGACACCCAGCTGCTGCTGCTGCTGCCCCCTCTACCAGACACCCATGTCAAGGTACGCCTCTGCTTGGGGTCAGGTTTTAGGGTCAGGCTTTAGTGGGTAGGATTTGTGGAGGAGGGTTCTGGGCAGAACACGAATCCTCGTATTCTCAGGAGAACGCTCGAACTCCACGCGACTGAAATGTCCCCAAATCCGGGAGCCGAGCCCAGGCCCCTCTCGCTGTGAGGCTGCACGAGTCTCACGGCACCCACTGCGGACGTGTGCCCCCCCCCCTCCCTCGCCCTTCCTCACGTAGTTGCCGCGGATGTCCGTGTGGTTCCACTCGAGGCCATCGTCCAGCACCGTGACCACGACCCCGCGGCCCGTGATCCCCGCGCGCCACACGGGGATCACGTGCAGGTCCAGCTTGGGCAGCGAGCGGTCCCTCCGCGTGTCCTGCTGCTCAGGGGGGCAGCACAGGGGACACGGGGGGGGGGGCATGGGGGGGGGTGGCACGGGGTGTTGGTGGTTGTGTCTGGTAGAGATGTATGTTGAACTTATTTCGCACTGTGCGTAGTCAACCGTGCAAATCGGGAATCGAACTCGGTGTCAGGGGCCGGGTTCGTAGCGCGGTGCGCCAACCACTGCGCCACCGCTCCCCACATACCCCCCCTCCCCCACCCAAAGTCAAAGATCCCCCCTGTAGCCTTGAAGAGACTGTGGGAGCAAGTGCCCTTAGCGAGCACCTCCATCACCACCACCAACCTTATCGCCCCCACCACTCTCACCACCCCCCCCCCCCAGGTGCTCACCAGGTACCACTCTCACCACCCCCCCCCCCAGGTGCTCACCAGGTACCACTCTCACCACCCCCCCCCCAGGTGCTCACCAGGTACCACTCTCACCCCCCCAGGTGCTCACCAGGTACCACTCTCACCACCCCCCCCCCCCCAGGTGCTCACCAGGTACCACTCTCACCACCCCCCCCCCCAGGTGATCACCAGGTACCACTCTCACCCCCCCAGGTGCTCACCAGGTACCACTCTCACCCCCCCCCCAGGTGCTCACCAGGTACCACTCTCACCCCCCCCAGGTGCTCACCAGGTACCACTCTCACCCCCCCCAGGTGCTCACCAGGTACCACTCTCACCACCCCTCCCCCCCAGGTGCTCACCAGGTACCACTCTCACCCCCCCCAGGTGCTCACCAGGTACCACTCTCACCCCCCCCAGGTGCTCACCAGGTACCACTCTCACCACCCCCCCCCCCCAGGTGCTCACCAGGTACCACTCTCACCCCCCCCAGGTGCTCACCAGGTACCACTCTCACCACCCCCCCCCCAGGTGCTCACCAGGTACCACTCTCACCCCCCACAGGTGCTCACCAGGTACCACTCTCACCCCCCCCAGGTGCTCACCAGGTACCACTCTCACCACCCCCCCCCAGGTGCTCACCAGGTACCACTCTCACCCCCCCCCCAGGTGCTCACTAGGTACCACTCTCACCACCCCCCCCCCCAGGTGCTCACCAGGTACCACTCTCACCCCCCCCCAGGTGCTCACCAGGTACCACTCTCACCCCCCCCCCCAGGTGCTCACCAGGTACCACTCTCACCACCCCCCCCCCAGGTGCTCACCAGGTACCACTCTCACCCCCCCCCCAGGTGCTCACCAGGTACCACTCTCACCCCCCCCCCCCAGGTGCTCACCAGGTACCACTCTCACCCCCCCCCCAGGTGCTCACCAGGTACCACTCTCACCCCCCCCCCCAGGTGCTCACCAGGTACCACTCTCACCCCCCCCCCCAGGTGCTCACCAGGTACCACTCTCACCACCCCCCCCCAGGTGCTCACCAGGTACCACTCTCACCACCCCCAGGTGCTCACCAGGTACCACTCTCACCCCCCCCCCCCAGGTGCTCACCAGGTACCACTCTCACCACCCCCCCCCCAGGTGCTCACCAGGTACCACTCTCACCCCCCCAGGTGCTCACCAGGTACCACTCTCACCACCCCCCCCCCCCAGGTGCTCACCAGGTACCACTCTCACCCCCCCAGGTGCTCACCAGGTACCACTCTCACCACCCCCCCCCCAGGTGCTCACCAGGTACCACTCTCACCCCCCCAGGTGCTCACCAGGTACCACTCTCACCACCCCCCCCCCCCCAGGTGCTCACCAGGTATCACTCTCACCCCCCAGGTGCTCACCAGGTACCACTCTCACCACCCCCCCCCCCCCCCCAGGTGATCACCAGGTACCACTCTCACCCCCCCAGGTGCTCACCAGGTACCACTCTCACCACCCCCCCCCCCAGGTGCTCACCAGGTACCACTCTCACCCCCCCCCCCCCAGGTGCTCACCAGGTACCACTGCTTGAGCCACAGGGGGTCGTCGAACATGTCCACGGGGGAGCAGTGGGGGCAGGGCGCGGGGGGGGCGCGGGGGGGCGCGCGCTTGGAGCGATCCTTGTGGTACTGCTGCTCCACCCACTTCACCTGCAGGGGGGGCGGGGCAGACGGGGGCAGTGGGGGGCAGTGGGGGGCAGGCAGAGTCGTGATGCCACCTGGAGCGGTCTCGGCGAACGTCGCCCCGATGGGGCGCAGCAGAGGCAATGAGCGGACTAAGAAACGAACGCGCGAGGAGCGGCGTCAGTGGGCGGCGCGCGTGAATCGACGTGGAGGGTGGTGGGGGGGTGGTGGGGGGGGGCGGTACCCGGTGGTCGCTGGAGAGGCGCTCCGTGTGCTCCTGGGTGTCCCTCCGCACCCTCCGCGGGAGGTCGCGCCTCTGCAGGAGGTAGTGGTCGTCCAGTGCCCCGATCTGCCGGTGCAAGGCGGACACGGGGCAGCAATTACGCATCGGAGCAGCCGCGCGCCGGCTCCGGCGCTGTTGGTGGCTACGCTGTTGCGCGTGGCCGCTGCCTGCGACCCACAGCGCTGTGGAGGCAGCGGCGAGGGCTGGTGGATCGCACGCAGACGGGTGCCGCGGTGGTCAGATGTTAACTACCTCGCCTGGTATACAGGAGGTCGTGGGTTCGCGCCCGACTTTTGGCACCTGCTGTATATTTTGAGTTGGCGTGTCTCTCTCTCCCCGTGGTCGCGTGGATTTTTCTCCAGGGGGTTTCCCTCCACGTGTAGAATCGACACGCGTTTAGGGTATTTGACGGCTGCTATAAATTTCCGCACGACGAGCCACTTTGATGAGCTCTCATTTGTGGTCAGGTTGCTTTTCATAAAGAGCTACATAGCTCAGTGGGCCTCACCTGGCAAAATACAAATAGTCTAGTTCAAGTCAAGAGTCGTATTAAGATGCTGCGGTGCCGCCTGCAACGCGTGGGTGGAGCATGCCCACGGCTCGCGAGCAGCAGAAGGCTGCACGGCAAAGCGTGGACTCATCTCCATCTGTTCCAACTCCATTGCTGTGGGTGGGCATTGAGGGGGAGCTCTACCCTGGCTCGCCACGAGACGGCAGCAATGCTGTCAATGTTCATTCATTGAACATTAAATCGCTGACTACTAATTTTATTTTTTTAAAATAGAGCATCACAAACAATAACTACAGTATAATGACAATTACTGATTAGCACCAGTAAGTCGGACTAGAGTAGAAATGCTAATACACACTAATAACAATTGTTAATTATAATTCTGGTATTTGAGCAGCTACTGAATACAGTGCCGAGGGCATTCACAAGACAATGAAAAATATCCCCCGTAGAGTCGCAACAGACTGTTGTTGGGGCAAGCGCTGTTAGCGAGTCGCGCCTGTGAAGGCCGGAACGGTGCACGAGGGAGGGTGGGTGGCCAGCACCACGCCCGGCCGCCTTTGTCATTTGAGGCTGAGTCGACCTAGGGGAGGCCCCATGACCAATTCATAGGTTCTCGCTAACAACCCTTTCCTCCAAAGTATCTTAAGGCTTTCCGGGGGATCGTTGTCACTGGCGGTGGGGAGTGGTTTATGACACGTGACGATTGTTTCCGCTGCCGCGCCGAGGTATCGGAAAGAACCCAACACAGTGTGCCGAGCCATCACACGAGGACGGGAGCATCGACTTCGTCGGCAGGAGCACGAAACACACGCGCTCCCGTCGTGACCCACCAACCCCACGCTAACCACACTCGCATCGTGTACAGCGTTGAAGCGGTGCCTTGGGGCATGGCAGCAGCTGGGGCGGATGGAAGCCACCACAAACACGCGCGTGTGTGTTTGTAGGGGGGGGGGGGTTATGCTGCGTTCACAACAGCGCATTCTTCAATAACAATACCATGTGGCTTGATGACGCAAAACATGGATAATAGGCGACGTTTCGAGCAATGCCCCTTTAATGCATGTACATTAATGTTCTGTGAAGAAGGGTCATTGCCAGAAACGTCGCCTGTTATAAATTTTCCATTATAAGGCCACACCACCCGGTGTTGTTGACAAATGCGTTGTGTTTTTTTCTTTCTGCACGAGAGGTAAAGCGTTGACAGTGTCGTGTAGCCGATGTAGTCGAGTGATCGACTCAAGTTCCATGGACAGGGGTTAGGTTAGAGCAGCTGGGGTATAAGTTAGGGTCACTCTTGATTTAGGGTCACTGTTTGGCCTTGCGGTCATGTTCAGGCTCGGGTCAGAGTTGGGGTTATGGTTACAATTAGGGTTAGGGTTGCGCGAACGATTATGGTTACGTTTTGACTTAAAACTTTCGTGACTGCAGGAATTCATATGCTTGGTTCTTTCGGTAAAGACACGTAGATAGAAAATTATAAAATAAAATTACAAAATTAGCTTTTATTGTTTAAAATTATTTGTATTTTTTATTTTTACTTTTTATTTTTTATCTATGTGACTTTACCGAAAGAACCAAGAAAATGGGTTCCGGCTTTAATTAATGGTTTGCTTATGGTTTGGGGTTGAGTTAGGGGACAGGGTCCATTAGTCAATGCTTGAGATCTTTGAAAAGAGCTTAACAGCTCATCGGATTCCTCCAGTGTCGAGACTCAGCCACATCACGCAATCCAAACACAGCGTCACTTGGCCAATTAACAATTATCTTTAATCACACAGCGACGCTCCGGTGAACCGGTCCGGTGCGGATGGGGATGGTGGGGGTGATGGGGATGGTGGGGGTGATGGCGGGTGATGAGGATGGTGGGGGTGATGGGGATGGGGGGAGGGGGTTGATGATGGGGGGGGGAGTGCGTCATCGTCCATGCTCTCCTTCACACATCACCGCGAGCAGCTGCTGAAACAGGAGCTCGCTGATGATCTCGATCGAGGTTTGACTCATAACGACATTCGCTAGCAAAGTGCATCATCGTCATCGCCCATTGCCAGAATCAAGATCGTGTTTACGTGCATCACCACCACCATGACCCCCATTAACATCACCACCATCACCACCGTTAACATCACCACCATCACCACCACCATTCACATCACCACCATGAACGTCACCGTTAACATCACCACCACCATCACCACTGTTAACATCACCACCACCATCACCACCGTTAACATCACCACCATCACCACCACCACCATTCACATCACCACCACACCACCACCATGAACATCACCATTGACATCACCCCCATTCACATCGCCACCAGCACCGCGTGGTCAGACCTCCCACCCATCAACATTGTAACAATCACCACAATATAGTTGTCATCATCACCATCATCATAATAGCCAACACCATCAAAGACAATGATCATCCGTGTAGCCATTAACAGACTGTTGGGGCAAGTGCTGTTAGCGAGCAGCACCGAAGAAGGCCGGCACGGCACACGAGGGGGGTGGGTGGCCAGCACCACGCCCGGCCGCCTTTATTTCCCCAGTGGTGATGTATTACACATCGCACCAGGTACTCATCTCACATCTGAGTGGGGGTGGCCACACACACAAGTCACGTGATTGACGGCAGGCTGGGACTGATCTCGACAGAGAACTCCGGACGAGAGTGGGTGCACTGCGGAGGGGGGACGCCACAGAATTACACAAAACAATACCTCGATGTCCCCACAAGGGGGCGGAATCACAGGCGTCAGTCGTATCGTCGAAGAGAGAATGATTGCACGAGATCGGGAGCTGTCGTTGAGAATGAGGGCGTGTATGTGAATGTGTAGGTGGTGCGGTGTGTAAGAGTCATCACTGGGGAGACAAAGGCGGCCGGGCGTGGCGCTGAACCCACCACCTGCAGTGCCAGCTTCAATAGGCGCTCGCTGACAGCACTTGCCCCTGCGACCTGGTGTAGGCTACACGGGGGATCTTTGTCTTTCTAGGTGCGTCGCTGTCTGTGTTGTGTCGGCGCTCGCTGACAGCACTTGCCCCAGCAGTCTGTGAAGTGCTCTTGTGGCAAATGCTATGATGGGCAGACAGGACGAATGGTCAGCACGAGACTAAACGAACACCAAAGGAAAATTAAATACTCCCAGATAGAACGGTCTGCAGTGGCAGAACACGCGTGCCAACCAGGACACACATTTGGTTTAGATAATGTTGAAGTTGTGTGCAAAAATAGCTACTACTGGCCAAGACTAATTAGGTAATCTTTTTAAATTGAGAGAAATAAAAATAAATTAACCGTTCGGATAGATGCAAGCTTTAGCGCTGCTTGGAAGCGAATAATCATAATACATTGTTTAAATGCATGCCTATACAGGTCACCATACTTCAATGTGAATTACCTGTGAACAGGTACTGCTATTTTAGTGGACACAAACGTCAGTAGGTACAAGAACATTCGACATGCATAATGTGCGTGGATTACCATATGAATAACCCGAACCGGCAATAGATACCCGAAGTAATGTAGATGCATTAATTAACCCTTCCCCACTTCTCTAAAGAAGGGCTCACAAGGTGTGTCACCACAGCTGCCCCTCTAGTTAAGGAACGAAACAGGAGGAGGATTTTTCCACAATTCTGTCTGTCGCCTGATGATGCCGGTTGTAATTACTGGCGAAACGTCGTACTCAGATTGTAAATGTTGTGGATTGTACTAATAACGAATTGGCCACGTTCTGTTTACGTGACAAACGTTACTAATTGGCTGTGTCGGGTGGTGGCGGGTTTAACGACACATTTATATATTTACGCGATCAAACAAAAAAACCCTCTATTATAGAGTCTGTTATGGTTATACGAGAGTTATTTGTCTTTGTGTTGTCGTGTGCGTCTGTTAATGAATAGACGGCTGTTGCTGCTGCTGTTGCTGCTGCTGTTGCTGCTGCTGTTGCTGCTACTGCTGCTGTTGCTGCTACTGCTGCTGCTGTTGCTGCTGCTGTTGCTGCTGTTGCTGCTACTGCTGTTGTTGTTGTTGCTGCTGTTGTTGCTGTTGTTGCTGCTGCTGTTGCTGCTGCTGCTGTTGTTGCTGCTGCTGTTGTTGCTGCTGCTATTGCTGCTGCTGCTGTTGCTGCTGTTGCTGCTGCTGTTGCTGCTGTTGCTGCGAGGCGAGTGACTGTTCCCTCGCCTCGATCTCAGCACGGCGGAGCCTCAGGAAGCGCGCGCACGCACGCGCACGCACGCACGCACACGCACGCACGCACACGCACGCGCATGGCGGTAGAGACGACTCGCTGACCGTGACCAGTGCACACGGCCACGATGATGGCGCTGATGATGACGATGATGAGGATTGTTTTCACAATGGAAACTGGTTATATTATTAGAGATGACACGTTCAGTAATTATGCTGCTGCTAATGCTGCTGATGACTTTAGATTACAATTATGGTGGTGATTACGATGCTGCTGCTGCTGTTGTTGCCTCTGCTGATGATTATGATCGCGATGTGATTATGATGACGACGGTGGCGATAACGATTTGGATATTGCCCCTGCTGCTGCTGCTGGTGGTGGTGATGTTACAAATGGAGTCGGCAAGAGTGATAGCAGATGTCGTGGTTGTGATGATGGTTCAGGTTATGATGGTGGTGGAGATGGTTGCTATGCTGTTAACGATGACGACGAGTAGAGAATGATAAGCAGAACCACCGCCTGTACCACCGCCTGTACCACCGCCTGTACCACCGCCTGTACCACCGCCTGTACCACCACCGCCACGTGTATCGCCACTACCAACTTCACCTGTAACGAGAGTCTCACGTGTCACGTGATATTTTCCGGAACGCTGTTGGGCCGGCTTGGAGCGGGATTGTCGGCGTAAGGCACTACCACGAGAGTGCAAGGTGCGCCTATCCATAACCCGATATTATTGTAGAACATAATCTTATCATGGAATGCACAGGTTGATGTGAATATAGGGCACAATACGGACACATCGAGGCAGGATGGATGTGGCGTGAACAAAACTGTTCCTGTGACAGCGTTCCGGATAGTGTCGATTGAAATTCAGCATTTCTTGTGCCACCACCACCACCCCTACTCAAGGCAAATATACAGGTCCCCCATATAGCCTTTTACAGACTGTTGGAGCAAGTGCTGTTAATGAGCACCTATGAAGGCCGGCACGGTACACGAGGGGGTCGGTGAACAATACACGCCCGGCCGCCTTTGTCTCTCAAAGTGCGGATGTTTACACATCGCACCAGCTTACTGATTTGAGGCTGAGTCGACCTAGGGGAGGCCCGGAACCAGTTCAAAGAAGTGTCACTGTTATTGGTCGTGAGCGGGAATCGAACCCGGGTGGACAGGGTCGTAGCGCAGTTCACTAACCACTGCGCCACCGCTCTCCACTATCACCACCACTCACCACCACCCCACTCACCACCACCCCACTCACCACCACTACCATCACCACGACCCCCTCTGCTACCCCACTCGCCACCTCCAACAACAGCCGTCATTCGTTACTAAGTGGCGGTGACGTCACCACGGTGCTTGTGCCAGGCTAGGTGCACCTTGAGGCCACGTGAAGTGTCGAAGGCTCGCTGGCAGGGAGCCACCTCTACCACCACCACCACTACCACCCCTAAGGTAACTCACCACCCCCCTACCCCACTCACCACCACCACCACTGACCACCCCACTCACCACCACTCACCACCCCCACCGCACTCACCCACACCACTCACCACCCCCACCCCACTCACCACCACCACTCACAACCCCACTCACCACCACTCACCACCCCACTCACCACCACTCACATCCCCCACCGCACTCACCACCACCACCACTCACCACCCCCACCCCACTCACCACCACTCACCACCCCCACCGCACTCACCACCACCACTCGCCACCCCCACCCCACTCACCACCACTCACCACCCCCACCGCACTCACCACCACCACTCACCACCCATAAGCCCACTCACGACCCCCCTACCCCACTCACCACTACCACCCCTAAGCCCACTCACCACCACTCGCCACCCCCCACCCCACTCACCACCACCCACCACCCCACTCACCACCACTCCACTCACCACCCACTCACCACCACTCACCACCCCCACCCCACTCACACCACCACCCCACTCACCACCACCCCATTCACCACCACTACCGTCCAACCCCACTCACCACCACCCCACTCACCACCACCCCACTAACCAACCCCACTCACCACCACGGCTCACCTGGCCTAGTAGACGGTATCCCAGCTCGTCAGCCAGGGCGGACGCGACGTGGGGCCCCCCCTCGATCTGCACTGCCCACTCGTTCACGTACTGCCTGGCGCCCGGGGCGGCCTCCGCGGGGCTCCACCACCAGCAGCACGCCAGGGCCAGGCAGCCCAGCAGGCGGGCAGCGTGCAGGCAGCTTCGCCTGCTGCCCCCCCTCATCGTGGAACCTCGCAGCGGGGGCAGCGAGGGATGTTCCAATCGGAACGGACGGACGGGCAGGATGACGGACGGTGTGGATGGAGGAAGAGGAGGGAAAGACGGGAGTTGAGAGAGAGGAGGCGAGCGTGGGGGGTGATCGGAGATTTCGGGAGGCGAGAGAGGAGATGACAGCAGGTGACTGGTGACGTGACAGGTCGAGAGAGTGGAGGGTGAAGATACCGGGAGAGAGAACGGCAGACGCGCGCTGCGGCTTCACGCTCCTCTCCGCCTGGGTGCCGCTCTCCTCGCGAGTGTCGCTCCGGGTGCTGGAGCCCGGCTCGGGGTGTCGTCTCGCCTCCCTCCCGTCTTGTGCAGCTGCTGCGGGGGCCGCTCCGAGGTTTTGAGGATCTACGCTGGACCAGAGCCCCCGCTCCAATGCGCGTCACCATCGCGTAGCGGAGGGGGAGGGAGGAGGAGGGAGCGGGGGAGGGGTGACGGAGCGCGAGAAATGAAGGCGAGTGCTGGCAGGGAGGGCGGGGGAGGGGGCTGCGTGAGTCAGTGCGAGCGAGCAGCTTGACTTGGACGAGCCCCTCCCGCGCGCGTCTCCACGTGTGCGCGCGCGTCTCTGTGTGCGCGTGCGTGTCTTTGTTTAGTGTATCCCGTGCGTGTCCCTGGCCTTGATAGGTGCTCGCGAACAGCACTTGCCCCAACAGTCTTGCAAGGCTACACGGGGGATCTTTGTATTTGTGTGTGCATCTCTGCGTGGGTTTCTCTGTGTGGGTATCTCTGTGTGTGTGGGGAGCGGTGGTGCAGCGGTTAGCGCGCCGCGCTGTGAATCCGGCGAGCCGAGTTTGATTCCCGCCCACGGCCAACACCAGTGACGATTATCTGAACCGGTTCTGGGAATGGCTTAGGTCGACTCGGCCTCAAATGAGTAGCTGATAAGGTGTGTAATCATCGCCACTTGGGACACAAAGGCGGCCGGGCGTGGAGCTGGCCACCCATCCCCCCCCCCTCGTGTGCCGTGCCAGCCTTCATAGGTGCTCGCTAACAGCACTTGCCCCAACAGTCTGTCAACGCGATACGGGGGATCTTTGTCTTCGTTTATTGCATCTCTGTGTGTATACGCGTGTGTCTCTCTGTGTGCGAGCGTGTGTCTGTGTGCGTGCGTGTTTCCTCCAGTTCGATGAGGCTATGCGGTGGATCTTTGTCTCTCCCACGTCAAGGGCTGCTCCTAAATTTGGTTCATTCTTCAAGATGCACGCTCCCTCGCCTCGCAGTGACGTCAAGAGAAGAGAGCGTGGTGGAGGTGGGAGGAGGTGGGGGGCAGAGGGGGAGGTGCTGGGGGGGGGGAATGGGAGGGGGGTGCAATGGGGGGGGCGTGGGTGGCTGGGAGCCGGGGTTAGAGGGGAGGGGGGAGATGGAACGCGGTGGGTGGTTTGGGAACTCACAATGGCTCAGAATCGATGGCAAAGAAAACACAGCAGACGCGGCTTGTGCGTCACCGTGATGATGGCGTGACGACGGTGATGGGGGACGATTGATTGGACATGATGGTGACGATGATGATGATGCTGATTATGATTATAGTGGGTTGTGGGTGATGATTGGTGATGGGCGAAGATGACGATAATTATTATAATAATGATAATGATGTCGATGATAGTGGTTGTTTGTTGTAGTTACCTTAATGATTTAGAGCGCAATGGGTTTGTCGGTAATGATTGTTGATATCCGTTGTGTGAAGAAGATAATTGTTGTTGTTGATGATGATAATGTTGATAATGGTTGTTGGTCACATTCACCCACTGGGAGGTATGAATGCGACATAGCAAGCAATAGCAAAACACACGGCAAGACACACGGCAAGAGGCACAGCAAGAGACACGGCAAGACGCGCGGCAAGAGACACGGCAAGACACGCGGCAAGAGACACAGCAAGACACGCGGCAAGACACGCGGCAAGAGACATGGCAAGAGACACGGCAAGACACACGGCAAGAGACACGGCAAGAGACGCTGCAAGAGACACGGCAAGACGCGCGGCAAGAGACGCGGCAAGAGACACGGCAAGAGACACGGCAAGACGCGCGGCAAGAGACGCGGCAAGAGACACGGCAAGACACACGGCAAGACACGTGGCAAGACACGCGGCTGGTGCCAAAGCGACGCCTTGCCAGGCTCGACTCACAGCTGGAATGCTCCGGCAGTCGCCTTTACAATGCCATGGGAAATAAAATAAAATATAGTTGTTGTTGATGAAATACATAGGCAGGAAGGACTGCATCTGCAAGTTTTCAATCATTGCATGAGTCCACTCCAGCAGTGGGTTGACCATGACGATGCATCTGATCCGTTTGGTACGTGACAACAACATAAATACGCGGACGAGACGGCCCCTTCACGCGTCTCTCGTGGGTTCCTTACACATCCCGGGAGTGCGTCAATTCAGCAGCGTTACTTCGAGACAAACGCGATCTCGATCGCCATCAACATCTTTTGTCTCATCAGCAGCTCGAATCGCTGCTGCTGAGCTGCCAGACGTTGATGGGCGAGGATCGGTTTCAACATTCAGTGGCTCGTCAGCAGTCGTTCTCCCTCGAATCAATGGGGGCGAACTTTCGGCCTGAAATGCGAGCACCCCTCGCTCTTGAGCCCATGGGGTCCTCGTGGAAGTCGAACGCTAAATTCGAGAGTAATACACAACTCAACAGCATCGTTCGCGTCGTTGTGGACGATTATCGTTGCCGATGATGGTTGTGATCTTTGGTTATGATGATGATGATGAGTAAGTAGGGGTATTGGGGGATTCGCCGGACAATGGGGGGGGGGGGGGTGGATCACGCGAGACACCCACTCACACCCACACGCTCAACCAGCACATCGCACGCTTAGGGGGCAGGCAGTACAGCAAATAGGTTGTTGCTAGGCTTCTGTGGGCCGCAAATATGTTCAGAGGTCAGCACAGTTTAAGGAGAGGATTTCCCCTCAAAGTAGGGCAGAGCTTCTTCGTTGTTGGTCCTATTGTAGAGGTGATACGCGCTGGGATGAGGGATCGTATGCCAGCGAGTAATGATTGGCTGTGTATGTGGTGACGCGCGCTGACGGTGGAGGATCAGGGGTCAGAGCGGGGTCGTGGGTTACGGGGTAATGATTGGCTGTGGGCCGGTGACGCGCTGAGAGGGAGTGACCGGGTGGCAGCGCGGTGTGATTGGCGGAGTAGCGTTAACACGCGCTGGGGAAAACGGATCGTAGAGAGAGTGCGTCGTGATTGGTTCACTAAGGAGCGATGCTCACGTCGACGTACGCATCAGCTCCGTCTCTCGTGAGCAGGGGCTATAAAAGGGGATGCACACAGGCGTGAGGGCAGTGTGTAACCAGCGAAGAATGAAGACGGGGATGAAGACCTAGGGCCCTGCGGTACCTAGTCCCGCTGTCCTAACGGGACCGGGACTCTGTGTAACCCACAGGCGAGTGTAGTGTGTGTAGCCATAGGCATAAGGTCTACACGAGCCGAATGCATTGTGTGTAGCCAGGGACATAGGGTCTACACGAGTCGAGTGTATTGTGTAGCCAGAGGCCTAGAGTTTACACGAGATCAGTGGAGTGTGAAGTCGGAAGAAAGGAGACCACACGTTGTATTTTGACACGTAAAGATTTAATAAAAAGTGTGTTCCCGTCAAGAAGTTCCTTCCGTCAATTCCCATACTTCAACTGGCGTCAGAAGTGAAACGGTCTTCCAAGCATGGATACAAGGAGGAGCCGTCGGACCCACGGGATTGACCACGGGGACAACCTCGACGACGCGGGCCAGCTGGCATCGGGGGGTGAGGAAGAGGAGTTGCCCACGGGGCAGGATCCGCCGACGGCGCCGGACGAGCGACGGGGGACTGACGCCGTGCTTCGCGAAGCGCACTCCCGTCTGGCGGAGCTGCTGCTCGCCGCCGCGTCCATCCTGGCGGAGATCAGCTCGTCGGGAGGAGCGGGGACGGCGGCCGACGTTCTACAGGGTTGCCCTGCAGATTCCCGCCAAAACGATTTGGCGATTCCCGCCATTTCATCTGCACCGACTTTTGGCGGGAACGGCCATCACCACGTGGCAGCGGTTCTCCATGCGCGCCCGCTGACGTCACCAACGCCCGCAGCGGACCGCCATCACACACCCGCCGCTGGGGCCGCCATCTTACACACCGACGGGGCGGCAGAGAGGAAGCACGAGGAGGAGGACGACTTCATCTTTCAGCAGCGCCTTCCCACGTTGTCAGCCTTCAAGGTGGAAGGCGGGGATTGGAGCCAATTTCAGCGCAGATTTTTGGCGCATCAGGAGATGTCCGCCTGGTCCGACGCTACGGCACTGCGGGCACTGCCTGCCATGCTGGACGACAACGCGCTCGCGGCCTTCACGTCCGCACGCAGGTCGGACCGCTCCACGCTCAAGGATGCGCTGGCTCTCATGGCCAAGGTCTATGGTCCTCCCTCGGCGTGCCGCCATCATTTTTATGCAAGACGGAAGGCGGACACGGAGACCGTGCTCGCCTACCGCACGGCGTTGCTTGCTCTCGCCGACGCCGCGTTCCCTCGTATGGACGAGGAGGGCCAAGATGCCATGGTTTTGGAGCAGCTGCTCAAGTTGGCGCAGGACCTGGGGGTCCCCATCAACACGGCCGATGAGACCGATATTTCGTCCTTACGGGTCGCCACAAGCATACAAGCGCACGAGGTCCTTCAACGTAAACAGGGAGTCGTCTGCAACGCTGCCGTGGCCTCAACTCCGGGCCCAGTTGTCACCGTGTCCCAAGTCGTCAGCCCACGAGAGGAGGCGTTCATCGCGGGACGACCGGGGGACTGGAGGTCGGGGGGTCGTTCGCCTCTGCGAGCGGCCCGCAAGCTGGAGCAACCGAGATCTCCGACGACTGTCATCACCTGCTATAACTGCGGCCTCCGGGGCCACGTGGCCTCCGGTTGCCGCGCCCCACGTCAGCGCGCCATGGGACCTCGGCTGGACGACGACCAAGGCCCCAAGTCGTCCCTGCAAACCCCGGTGTCTCGGAACTGACAGCTGCCGACCACCGGCGGCCGGATCTTGAGCGGCCGGAGCCACCGGACGGTCGCCAACGTCCCGTCCCATACGACGGACCGGCCAGACGGACTCGCGCTAGGTCGCGCTACTTTGTGTGACCTACCACGTGAGGAGTCGAGGCAGCCGGAGCGCCTCGGCACTGCGTTTAGTCGGAGTGACACTTGGTGTGTTCGTTTTACGGTGTTCGCTTTTACTGTATTGTTCGTCGGGCTGTATATTGCTTCTTATTTAAGTGTTGTTGTTGTGTTGTTGTTGTTGCGTTACGGGGCACACGGGGGGGGTGGGGTTTCTTTATTACTGCGTTGTCGTTAGGTTGTGTTGTTGGTTAACAGCCGGGCCGGCTGCAAGCTATGTGGGAGGGGGTGAT